TTCAGATACTGTTTGATGGTGATAAATATATCTTTCCTCGTATACGATATTTCTTCATACGTGGATCCTGTAATTAAGACATACGATTAAAAAACCGATTAACATATGATAGTTCGGAATATTTAACAACTCAAAGAAATAACATACAAACTGACATGATCGACTACTATATTAATTACAATCACCCGAAGGAATATTAAATTATTAAATCAACAAAATTACTTTTTCCCCGAAAAGTTTATAAAAACAATAGTTACAAAATATAAACTGACTTTATGGACTACAATATTAAGAACAATCGCTCGGAAGATACCGTCAAACGGGGTTAAGTGAATCATAGTGGGTAAAATGAATCACTGGACACTTTTTGGAAAATCGGCAATGTTGTCATCGAAAGCTTTAAGTTTATTCCATGTTCCCATCAGAGTGTCGCTTCAGTGTACCTTTGGACGTAGTACCGAGTGTTTTGTTGCGTTTAAGTAGACTGGTAAGTTACACGAAAAGTTTATGGGATCAACGATTTTTTGTTTATTTATGAAATATTAAAAACGACACAGTGTAGAACTCATTGTTTTGAAATTTAATTTGTTTAAATAAAATAAATGTATTTATTAGGTAGTTAGCAATATAATATTAATATATTTCATGTCATAATATTTGTAGTAAAGTTGTCACTTTTTTTTTAATAAAAAAAGCCAGTAAAAGGGGTAAAGTGAATCACTCATGTTTTTGTAATATTTGGGTTGCATTGTATAAATTGTTTATTGTTATTCTGTCATATAATAAAATTGTGCTGTTTTTGTATTTTTATTAATATATTTTTTTAGTTTCAGCATGCCAAGGGTGTATAAAAAAAAGTTGGGACCACGAGGAAAATGTAATTATGTTCCGGTGTTGTTGTCCTGGCATTGGCAGAGGTTCGACGCGTAATGTCTATAAGAGAAGCTTCAGAACAGTTTGGCGTTCCTTTTAGCACAATTCAAAGAAGGTATCATGGAAAAAACCCTTAAAATATGGTCGGCAGACTGCACTAACTGAAGCTCAGGAAACTAGACTAAAGAAAACCCCTTGTAATTTGTGCCGAGTGGGGATTTCCGTTAAAATGTACGGACGTTAGGACAATTGTGCAACAATATTTAAACGAAATTGGAATGACAGAAAAAAGATTTAAAGAGAATATGCCAGGAGTCGACTGGTTTAAAATCTTTATGAGCAGACATAGAGACCTAACTTTTAAATTGGCAGAAAATATGAAGCGCGTTAGAGGAGCTTTAACTTATGACGTTTTTTTTGCTCTAAATTGATTCATTTTACCCATAGACATTTTAAAATGAGTTTTAATACAATTTAGATGCATGATTCACTTTACCCCAAAGTAGAGGGTAAAGTGAGTCACTCTTTAACAAAAAATTTATATATTTCTGTTTTTTCAAAAAAAACATGATTTATCATTAGAACCACTCGTAATGAGTGTCACAACCTTCAATATTTTTTGTATATTTTTAGTTTCCTTATCTTTGGAGAAAAGATAAAAAAACGTGTTTTTTTGATTCACTTAACCCCGTTTGAGGTTACTTCCCTTTTGATTGAATATTAAATTAACAAACATGTTTTTCCTAAAAATGTATAAAAACAATAGTTACAATATATGAACTGACTTTATGGACTTTATTGATTACATTAGTTGAGAATTGCATTGGCGTGTCCGGTCATGTTGAAAAAATTAAGTGCTTTTTCTCTATTGATTGATCTATATAAGATTTACTTTCGTTTTTTTTAATATTATAAATCAACAAATTATTTTTTTACCCACACCCAGGCAGCACACTTTGGTATAAATTACGTTTTTTTTTTTTTAGGTACTACCATACGTATGAATACGGTTGATGTACTACCAAATATATTCGTGAAAATGTCCGCCTTATAAACGTCGATTACTAAGAATTTATCCACATATAATTAAACGTTTTTACTATACGTCTATATTAGATTTATATTTGTAGTATATTTATACGAATCCACTTTGGTATAAAAGACGTTTTATTATGTACTACAATATACGTATGGATACCGTTGACATGCTACCCAATATATACGTGAAAATGTCCGCCCTATAGACGTATATTTTTTTTATTTTTTATACGTCTAACATTACTACTTTATCTACCTGTTTTACTATACGTCTATATTAGATTTATCTTATTTTATTAATGTGTAAAATGCGTCTACCTGATATTATTTTAAATGTATTTCAAACACAAATTAAATAAAGTGATCAAAACAAAATTTCTAAAAGAGGCCATGGAAAAATGTTAATATTTCTTAAATGACAGTTTGGATTTTATCCATAGCAGGTGTGTATACACTAGAAATAGGTATTACTCGTGTTTATATTTTGGTTGTAATTGGTCTAAATATTTAGGAAATTTTTTTGATCACTTGTTCTTGATATATGTACAGAACAATATTTTATTAAAAAAAAAAAAAAAAAATAAACAATAAAATACTAAAAAATAAATACTAAAATACTGAATAACAAACTAAACGAAACTTTTCTTTAACTAACAAAAAATATATATGAAAATTAAAATCTTAGCTTAATACTTTGGATGTGTTGTGTCCTAGACAGGCCTTAGCTAACTTAAGCCAATCTTGCATAGCACTTCTAATCGTTTGGTCGGTTAAGTCTCTTGGTTCACCTCCATTCCTATAACCAAAATTTAACTGCATTTCAGGTGAAATATTTTCTAAAAGCTCCAAAGTTAAATTTGTATTATTTTCTAGGAAATTATTATAAATAATAGAATCAGATGATATATTAATGTCCGAAGCCTTAATAATGTTATCTTCACTGGGAATAAAAAAAAATTGATTTGACTTTAAAGCATCTTGAACATTTTGTGCTATTTTTCTTAGTAAATAACGCCGAGACAGGGTTATTTTAGACATTTTATTAAAAAAAAAACAACTGACCAAAACAAAGGAAAATAAGTATGCTTGGAATAAATAGGTAGCCTAAAAAATACGTATAGAAATACGTATAAAAATACTAGAAACAAACGTAAGGTTATGTTTTGGAGATTCCATAAGCATTTTACACACTGTAATAAAACAGTAGTTGTTGTAAAATGCAACAATTATTAAACGAGTAGCTAAATTAAAACATTAATAGAAACTTACCTATGCTTGTAACCAATATCGTAAAAGCCAGGACGCCAAAGCAACATGCAATGCAAATGGGCACAACAACACCAACAATTTTACAAGAACTTTTTATTACATAAAAAACAATTATTGTGGTTAGCAACTAGTTAACAGAAATATAACTTATAATAGCGTGAATCGTTTGATTGATAGCAAGCCCTTCACAGCCACCAGCCACCATCAGTCAGCTGATTTCCGATCGTCTGCCGGTAGCTTACTCCCCTCTCGATTCTCTGCACTACGCGCACTTTGGACCAGCTCGCCTTAGCTTAAAGCACACCCCGAATCTCACTCACTGAAACGACATGGACTAGTCCACCCCACCATGGTTATTGGCGGGTTATTTAAATGTTCGGGTGTTTGAAATCGGTACAATGGGGAATTTGTTATAAATATTACAGGTAATATAATTAAAAAAATATGGTGTAATGTAAATAAATATATCTATAAGCTTTTAATTTAAATAAACCTAAATATATACATATTATTTACTTCTGTCTACTAGTTCATCGTAAACTGGTAATATACGTTTAAGGTGACTTATATTTAAACGTAGAATAATATAGGTATATTAACTAGTATCCACAAACAAAAGCGTTTAATTTATCTGTTAAAAAACGTAAAGTATAAAAATGGTAGATGGTAAACGTTTAAAAAATCAACCAAGACGAAATTTAAACGGGAGTTATAAACGAAGAACACATATTGTAATATTATGTAAATTTATACGAATTTAATTTAAATAAACCTAAACGTATATTTAGACCCACTGTATATAAATAGTTCATCGCAAACTAAAAATAGTCGTATATTGTTAACTACATTTAAACGTAGAAAAATTTACAATTATATACCATAGGATGTATACAAAAAACGTATAATATATCTTTTAAAATACGGCATTTATAATAATCGTAAACTGTAAACGTATACGGAATCAACCAATACCAAAATTAAACGAGTATTACGTATAAAATACGTTAGTTATACTAATGTGTGCTGCCTGGGCAGTTTATAAAACCAATATTTATATGTACATAAACATAAATATGCGCCGCGGCGTTATACTAATACTTCGAGCCAGATTTTATACTCTCATCGTATACGCGAGGCAGCAGCTGCTTTATTGTGCCGTGCGTGTGCGCGGCCGACAATCGCACGATGTCAAAAACATGATAATAATCGAGTAGGCACCTCTAGGCAGCTGATTTTTGTTAATATCGCAAGATAATAAAGTAAACTAAAAGCCGACACTTTGGATTTCGCGGAACCAGTTGGAACCGATAACTTTTCGACTAGTTGAAAATGTAAGTTTTCAAAATTCTTTAATTTTATTAATGCAAGAGTTTATACTACATTTCAATAATTTACACATTACATTTGAGCTCAATCAATGTAAAAACATTGTCTACATACCTCCAGAAATCGTATCCATGCCTCAGAATTAAAATTGAACACTTCACTTGAAAAATATTAATGTTAGAAGTCACCCTAGTTTTCGTTCCTTCAGCGCGCGATGCTTGTACTCTCCACGAAGGCTAACTTCAAACTAACGTAGCGACGAAGGTATACGGTCAAAAACGGTTACTCTTCCACAATGGATGCATCCGTTAGTCCTCTACCAGACTGACTGCTCAAAAGTACCCATTTAGAAAATTCATTTATTGAGGTTTTGGCCAGGATTTCGGGATTTGGCCCCACTGTGCGTTGTGCTTAGCACGGCGGAACAGTCTTTCAAAGCAAATAATACCACAACATTTCTTTAAGTAGATGATAATTTTAAGTTTCTTTTTCAGATGTCGCAGTTGCTTGCAAAGCTTTAGCAGCGAGGACACGTTCAAATCACACAAATGTGTGCTGACAGGAATACTAACACATTTTTGTAGATATTGTGGCAAATCGTTTGCCACATTAAAAGTATATTATCATCATTTGCGATTGCACCATAACGTACGCAAAAAAATGAACGGACAGTTCTGTACAGAATGTAATAAAGTTGTGTCCAATTTAACGTGCCACAGACTAAGCGTACATCCTGGTACTGTACAGAAATATTTGTGCCCGATTTGTGGGGCGTATGTTTTAAATAAATATAGGTAAATATAATTTTGATCAGACTATAGTCTATTTTTATGTATGAGAGAGTATTAAAATAATAAAACGTTCGTAATCCATAGGCGTAGCACTTCTTTTAGAAGACAGTTAAAATATTTTTTGAAGTTATTCCTCGAGTATACACTTATATTTTCACCTAATTAACCTACTTGTAACTTCTAAACAGCTGAAGGTAAAAAAGTGCAATTTTTTCTAAAATGTTTCATTTTTCCACAAGGTATGTTAAGAACTTTGTGTCAAACGGGTTTTGTAGGTATAAGGGTTTAAACTTTGCTTTTTAAACAACGTTACGTTCATAAATAATAATTTTAATATAAAAACTACTTCTTACCTACAAATCCAAATCAGCACAGGGACTCCGTGTCATATAGAATTCTACCGGTCGCTTCAATTCTATCGATTGGCACTCTGTGTCTCCAAATAATCGCCAGGAGTCGACTGTAACTATCGCCACGAAGCGAGACGTCAAGACATATAGTTTTCTACTAAAGTAGGCAAACCGTCATACATTTTTGTTTTGATTTTAAAACATTATGGCATTGGATCTAATTTCAAATGAAAAAAGTAACAAACGTAAAAATAAGAATTACGGTAAAGCCATTAGCTTTGTTGTTAAATCAAGTGAATTTTTTATTGTGGTGTGTGGTGTAAACATTATAATAGGTTTATTCTGCAATTTTTTTTACCAGCAAAATCTGCTAGGTCCAAGGAGAATCTTCCTGTTGAAGAGGCACATACATCCACAGCATCAGTATAAAAAATTTAATAATTTGAAATCCTTAATCCAGGATATTCCTCAATAAAACAAATAATTTTACAGTATGATACTTGACTGGCCGACAGAGGTCTCCAAACTTACTTAATAATGTCATTGTAAAACTATGTGTAATAAATAATGTATCAGATTTTTATTTTTAATCTTTTATTGTAAATAAGTTTGGAAAAGATCACAAATAAATTAAATGTAAGTAGATGTGCCCTTTTCCAAAAAAACCAATTCACTTATTTTTCTCTTCATTTGGTCGCAGGATTTTAACATGGGTACAATCTACTGCTCCAATTATCCCGGGAAAATTTCTTGCTTCTGTACCTAAAACATAACTAAATTTGTTGTTTTTCCTGTAGAGTTCTAGGAAACCGAATCCATTCCCCTGAGAAGGTGTTTATAATGGCCGTATTTCCTCTTTAGCTCTCGACGTAATTCCATTTAATATATACTGAGACATATCTTTATTTAATCGAAATAACTCTACAAATCTTACATTTTCTATAGAGAATGGATCGCTCGTCTCTCTCATTACTCGCCTATCTATATTTTCCAAACGAAGATGTTATAGTCGTTCCTCCTCTTCAACAGCTAATATATTGTCCACAAACAAAGGGACCATTATTACAAATCAAAGCAAAAACTAGATAATACAAACTTAAAATCAAAATCAAAGCGGCACCTTATCTGTCAGAAATTGACATACTTGACAAAAAGTAACAAATCTCTATATTTCAAGCAAACATTTTTAGATCGGTTAGTAAACCTCCGAGAATGTCCGATGTTTTGACATCCATGAATCGACTGTCACACAGAGTACCGGCAAAGCGTTTATAGAATTCTACAGTAGAATTGATTGTAGAAAACTATATGTCGAAAGCGATGGGACACGGAGTGTCGCTCCAGAATCGAAATCAGAAGAAGAACTGTCGCAACCAATATTTACAATGAGTGGCTCGATCATTTCATCAGTAATATTGACCAACTTCCACATTTTCTCTTCTTCTTTAATCGTATGATTTACTGCCTTTTCCCAGTTTTCAGGCTTCACATTATTTACAGCCTCCAAAAACAACTGTTTAACATCACTCATTTTAAAAGAATTATTTTTTCTTGAAACTTCTCCCTTTATCTGTACCCATATCAGTTCAATCGGGTTTACTTCGCAATGATATGGTGGTGATCTAACCACCGTCATCCCACGATTTTTTGCAATTTCATCAATTTCATATTTTTTGAATTTCTCTTTATGAAGGGAACACAAATGATACAGATCTTTTCTCACAGAACCGGGATGGAACTTAAGGTTTATCTTACCCGACCAAAAAATTAATCTTATGTTCAAAAATTTTCAAAAAATTCACCTAACTTACTCATCAAATAAGTAACTAATGGACAAATTTTTGAAAAAATCTGGTAAGCCGTTTTTGAGAAAAAAAATGTTTTGTTCAAAAATTCAAGTATGTAAAAAAGTTATCTTTCATCAGATTTTTTTCAAAATTGTTCTATGCGATCTCTATGTCATTGTTATATTGGGAGAATTTTTCTAAAAATTTTAAACTTACAGTTTTTTTATAAATAATAATATTATTATTATTTCACAATAAATTATCGTTAAAACTTTTATAAACGTACAAAATTAGTCTATTTCCTGTTATTATAACTTTTTGTTACTTTACACACTACCTAAGATTTATTCTAAACACTGAATAATCGTAAAAAGTGAATAAAAATGTTTTAATTTATTAAATATTTTTAAATTTGGAACCTAAAACATTAGTCCAGTTGGTGCTGCTAGGAATATATATTGAATTAACGTTTCTGAATCTACCCACTTGGATGTATCGTGACCGGCGAAATTTTTACGATGTTGCCAAATCGAATTACATATCAGAGAATATATGATATTACAGAATGGTTAATATAACAGCAAACATAATAATTAATTATGGGATTATTTATTGATTATACGGATATCCGACGACAAAGAACATTGTTAATAGACATGTTCAATTTTTTTGTAAAAAAATATATTATATTTATGTTTTAAATATTTATTCCATAACAACTGTACATATTCTTTAATATGTATAATATATAAAAATGTATAATATTTAAAAGTTGTGACAATTAGATAAACGCATTACAACGCGAAATCGTTTTGAGACACTCAAAAACAAACTTGTTTTTTATGTCTATTAGATAGAGAGTCCCTATTATGCGTAGCCGTTATCTGTTTTACAGACAACAGTGTAGCTTAATTATTTATGTACATTGATGAATTATGAGGAATCGAAGAAAAAAAATGGAGAACTGTCATTAAATCTACGAACATAAATCTGGGCACTGACTGTTTACAAATAATAATGGAAGGCGGGACGTGATTGTCGTATGTAGGTATGCAAACGCTCATAGAAAAAAAAAAGGAAATTTGGAAATTTTATTGTGATACATAGAGTGCGTTAACACATGAATCCTTTGAAATAAAGATGAGCCACTTAATTATATTTGCATTTGAAAAAAAAATAAGGAGAGATTTTCGTAAATCGGCTGACTGCCTGCCGTGATTAGACGCATCGTTACACCTCTGTCATTAGTGGGCTGGCGCGGACTGTTCTACCTCTGTCAAAAAAATAGCATCGCTTATTATATACCGTTCTTTAAGTGCATTTATGGGAAAGTTAACATATTGTATGTACGAGCAAATATATTATACCCAATATTTTTTTAATTTTTCTAACGGGAGTTTCTTCAGATTTATTATTTAAAAATTATCCCACATTGCATGTTCAAGTAGGAAAAAATTGTTAATTAACTAATGCATAATAGAAAAACGCGATAAAAATTTTTTGCCCGCGGATTATTGTTTATTAAGATCCAGTATAGAGAAAGTAAAAGTTGAAAAGTCTTTTGGTAGGTAGAGAGGGGGTAAACGTCAAACCACGTCGGGCGGCTCCGAAAATTTTACAGTAATGTTTACCTGCCAGTGTCGTTTCATAGAATAAGTAATTTTAAATTGTTATCGGCGGAACCGGACAATCGCATGTATTTATGGATTATAAATAATTATTAAACATGTATTATAATATTCAAATTATAATTTTACAAAATTTAAACAGCTATTCACAATTTATTAAACTATTTACTCGAAATTGTTATTAAAATCTATAAAATAATTTTGTACGCCAATGTATCGCGTCCACTTCGGTGAGATCCGGTGCCAACCTGTCAATTTATGTGTATAAAGTGGGAGAACTGGCAAAAGCATTTCCAACTTTTACTTCTGTTCTATATGCCTGAATTTTTTCAATTCCTAATTTTCATATTAAATAAGTTTAAATAATATATATTCATTAAAGGTCCACAGTGGGCGGAGCTTACGCAAGCCAGTCTCCGTTTTCGGTCGCATTTTCAACCCTCTAAGAAAGTTATAAATATTGATCCTACAGTTCCGGGAGGTAGGTTATTTGATGGGAAATTTCCTCCCCTTTTTGAATCTTTTCTCAAATTTGGAAAAAGGTCACATAGTTTTTGATATATGTGCAAAAACCCAAACCCTATTTTTTTTTAGTTAATTGTTTATAACTTTTGCAATTTTTGCAATCAGCTCAAATATCATCTACACGCTATTTAGAATTGAATGACACCTTGTTCATATTTTTCAGAGGCGGAGAAAAAAGTTAGACCAAATAGGGAGATCTAAAGATGGTTTTCAAAGGTCCAACTCAACATTTCTAAGAATCTCCAAAAAATATTAACTTTAGGTATATAAATAATATTTAACTCAAATGAAAGTATTTTTAAATAAGGGTACTTTTGAATGGTGTTATAATAAAAAGGGTGGTCAATTTAAAAAATTTAAAATTTAAAAAATTTAAATCAATACGTTTTTTGTATAAAACTGATTATAGCGTGTGAAATACCTTGTATAATCCTATACTATTTGATATGATAATAATGGAGAAAGCAAGGGTAATTCAAATATAATATAAAATACAGGATGATTCATTTAAAAAAGAGAATTTTGTTTCACACTGAAGTTATCGAACACCCTGCATATTCGAAACAAATTTTAAAATATAGAATTTAATACTGTCTACCGTTCTGTAAATGTTTTTTTATATTTAATAGGGCCAGTTATAATAGACTTTTCACACTGTATAATTTAAATAATATTTTAAATGGACAAAAATATTTTCTTAATATCTTTCGTACGTATCAAAAGACCATAGAAAACTTTGAATATGTGAGAAAAAACTCTTCCTCTGGAATGGTAAGAAAACGAGTTTAATTTTTCATATATATTTGTTATTACCAAGTTTTATGCTTCATTAATTAGTTATAGCCAGCACATATATAACTTTTACACTTTATTAGTAAACTCAAAGTAGGTAAAGTAAAAAATTACGCAATTTGACCGTCGAAATTTTAAAGTATAAGTCAAGAAAGGTAAAGTAATATTTTCTCGTGTTTCTTGTTTTCTTTTGAATCATACTGTATATGGTTTATAAACTACCTATATATCTTAAAATATAAGTCGAGAAAAGAAAAAAATAACGTTTTTCCTCTTTTTTTAATCATACTGTGTATGGTTTATAAAATATATATTTAAAATTATGGCTCCAGTCAGCTGATTGGCCTGATTCATAAAAATAATTAAAAAGTTCATTATTTGATGTTTGTCTCTTAATATTTTGTTTCACAATATTTTGATTCGATGTTTTGTAATAATTTAAAATTATGCGAATTTTGTCACACACCGTGTTTGTTTGAATATTGAAAAAATTCTAGATATATAGATTTTTAAGCTTTAATAATATATTTCTATGACCGAGCGTTATACATATATAAATAATAAATAATATCTCAAAAACTTACAAATCAGTTTTTCGTAAATTCCAACCCCGACGAGATTTTTTCGGAAATAATCGGGGCATTTTATCTGCGTTCTTAATAACTTTTAACAACTAAAATATAAAATAAATGTCCAAAACTTAAAACACTAATAATTTATATTGGTTAATATGGGAAAAAAATTATTTCACAAGAAGTTATCTTTTTAAAAATGAAGTCATACAAATTAAAGCAAAAAACGAACTGACTAATGAATTTAGATATTCCATGGCGTATGCACCCAAAGACTGTTTGTTTATATTACCAACATAAAAATCACTTCACAGTAAGATTATCACATTCCAGATTGGGAAGTAGGTGCCAGTTTTAAAACCGTATGTAAGCAGTATTAAAATAACCGAAAATACTTATTGGTAAAGTTTTTAAAATATAATATATGTATATTTCAAAAGTAAAATTCTCCTTGAAATCATATTACAAAATAAAAATACTATTTTTCTCTGTATCTTGAATTTTGCTCAGTCTGGCTGTGTACACCGTACAGACTACTAATCATATAAATTTAAACGTAACCCAGCTGAATAGTTAATCGATTAGGCCGATGTACGTATTATGTATACAAAATTGATTTGGTCCAGCATGGAAAAGGTTTCATTGTGAATCTACGGTACGCTCGTCAAAATGCTGACATGGCCCTAGTGTCTTTTAATTATCTCTCTTATTATTTTAGATAAAATTATGATTTTACAATCGTTAGAATCCTTAAGTTTTTATCTAGTAATAAACAAGAATACATTTTTACAAATTTTTGCAGTTTTTATGATATCGGCGTATATAAATAAAAAATAGGTAAAATATTATTATTTGTCTTAGGATAATTTTTACTTTAGAAACATATTAATCTTTCTTTTTGAGAATAACTCGTTTTCCTTGGACGATTTTTAGACAACCTAAGCCATTTAAATCTAAAAATCAAAAACTACTATTTCGAGAACTAACACAATAATTATTGTATCTATAAAATGCCAAAGAAAATCTAAACTACGCGATTTTAACCCTCCGCCGCTTAACAATATTTACGTGACAACTAGAACAGTAGATACCTCTGTGTATATACTTGGCAACAACGTATATTGTTCCGTCTCTGTAATAGCTATATCAAGTGTTGCCCTCTTTTGCTTCACGCACCAACTCTAATTAGCAATATTTGTAGTTACAGAAAACTATAATGTTTAGCGCTAGTTTTCAACAATTTTTGTGCTATCGTAACTCCATCTTGCGTTAGTTAACCACTTGGTTGTGGGCATTTTTTGTATAAGTCTCGAGTGATAACTTGCATTATCCATTACTATTATACAGTTCTGAGGAAGAAGATCTATAATTTGTTCGAACCACTCTTTAAAGACATCAGCATTCATGTCCTCATGGTAGTCACCACCTTTAACAAAACCGTTTGAACTACCGATGTGTACTATTATTAGTCTGCGCCCCTTTCCTGATGGTGGATTTAAACCAGTAGATAAATTATTTAAAAAAGCCTGTCTTCGACTTGTAACAGTTTCATCTTGCCAAAATTTATTTGGTTTATGTCCCCCGTTGATCCATGTTTCATCTAAATAAAATATATTTCTTCTTTGGTTTCTCATTTCTTTTATAGTCCTTAGGTAATTTCTTCTCCATACTACAATATCGCTTCTTTCTATTAAAATAGACTTTCTGGAATGCTTTTTCCATAGAAAACCTATTTCTTTTAAAAGTTTCCATAGTGTGCTTCGACTCATTTCAGGGTAATCCTTATCATCTCGAACCGTGGCAAGAACTTTGTCTACTGTCGGAAATTATTTTCTAAAGAAGAACGCATGCACTTTCCTTCGAAGTCTTCCTTTCAAAAGATTTTCTAATTGAAATTTTGGTTTTCCTGGAGCTTTACGTGCTGTTTGAAACTCGCCACATTTCCCAACACCAAGCGTACTACTAACTAATTCCGCTGTGTCATCAACACTTTTACATAAATGTTTGTCTGTAAATGATTTAAAACAATTAAATATTAATGTTTTAAAGAACCGATTTTTTGTCGTTTACGCGGCCCTTCCAAATTTTCCATGATCACACTAGAATTCACACTGCACCTTGCAAGTAGCAACTAAACGACATTTAGTAAACTGTCAAGAATACACAACTTGGACCTCCTTACTAAATGGAAAACCTATAATCGCATTTTCGGTGAAATTTGTTGGGAAGGTATTTATCTACTTATAATTCGATTACTGTAAGAAATTCTTGGAATTAAAATAAAACAAAATTGGCAAATATGTACTTATTGAAAATAATCTTAAGATACGGCTATGTAATCTTTAATACACAGGGCTTTTGGCCTGTCCAAACCTTTTTCTATTGTTCTGTACAGCTTATGTTTATAAAGGACCAATAAAAGACCCAAAACTTGTAATAGCTCAGGTACATTTATTACAATTTTAGGAAATATTTAGATTATTCTGTAAAAAGATTTAAAATGACCGTACTAAGTTTTGCATTAGAAATGCTGTTTTATTACTCTTTCATACATAAAAATAGACTATAATTGATAAATCAGACAATATGTAATGAAATTTCCTTAAAAAAAGAGGCAATTTTATCACAGTCTCAGGATAGGTAATCCTTTACACCATATTTTTTCTTCAATTTTTTTTAAACCATTTCAGTAAAGGTTGTTAAAACTATTAGTCACCCCCCCCCCCCCATTAATGATTTGAAATTTTTTCAAAATCAATACCACACAAATATATTCTTTATTAAAAAAAAAACTAAATGTTAACCTAAGCAATGTTAACAAAAGCTACCGCTTTCAGCTCAAAATATTGTTCCTAACAAAATTACATTCAAATTAAACAAGTAACATACCTTAAACGAAAAATCTTAATCATATAGTAACATTTAGTTTTTAATAAAGGCTATATTTGTGTGGCACTGACTTTGAGGATTTTAAATATGTTTTATTAAATATTTCAAATAATTTTAATTTATGTTTCAGTCATATGATGAAGCACGGACCAACACTCAGTAAACCTCCAAAATGCAACATCTGCGGTAAAGAATTTCGCTACACGATGGGCTTAAAAAGACACTTGATGGTCCATACTGGCGAAAAACCCTTTTTGTGCAGTTCTTGTCCCAAAACTTTTAGCTGCAAATCTAATCTACAGGTTCACGAAAGAATACATCTGGGAGTTAAATCTCACGTTTGTTCAATATGTGACAAAGGATTTTTAGAAAAGTCATATCTGGAAAAGCATATGAAGGTGCATAAAGTCATGATCGTGACTGGGTCGAAACAGAAAAATAAGGTTGTTGAAGATTATGAAACATCAGAGTCTGACGACTATTAAATTAAATAATTATTGCATATTGTAAAAATTCATTTATTGATTTTTAAATTAGAATAAGTTTATATTAAACGAGCGTTTTATTGAATATTGAATATATTGTAATTGTAAGCGACTCTTCAGGAGGCAATAGAGGCGAAACTTGTAAGTCTTAGCTAGTTTTAATCAATTGATTAAGAGGAGTATTTACTTGGCTTTAGAGCAGAACATGCAAGGGTTTCGTAGTACCCCACTTTTAAAGTTTATTTTTGACATATTTTGAAAGAAAAAAATATGTGCGTGTAGGTAAAGGTTAAATCTGTGCTCCTCTGGGAACACTTTTTCAAAATTTAATTCTGTTTTTTTTTTCTAAAAAAAAAAAAAAAACACAAAACTCGACTTTTTTGATCCATTTTCTCAATTTTTTTTAGAAAAAACTAAATTGAATTTTGAAAAAGTAGTTCCAGAGGAGCATAGATTTAACCTTTATCTACACGTACATATTTTTTTCTTTTAAAAATACTTAAAAATAAACTTTAAAAGTGGGGTACTACGAAACCATTACATTGCAAGATTTTACGTCTGTCAAGTGGCGCCTCTGTTAGATTTTTAAGAAATTAATATTTGTGAATGAAAACAATTTACAAAATATTTTACTGATGTTTTACGAGGGTTAATTAAAGTTTACGTATTTGTTGGTACACATTATTGTTTTACGTAAATCATTTCTGTAATACTAATATATACATATTTATATAATATGCAATGGGTTTCATAGTACACCAATTTTACGGATTATTTTTTATTTTTTAAAAAATTATGTAAGTACAGATAAAGGAGTCACTTTTTGAACATTTGAATCGGTTTATTTTGAGAAAATTAAGAAGATATCTTTCTATCAAAAAAAAAAAAATACAAATAAAAATGCTAGGAGGGAACAATATATGTTTTTAATGTTTACAGGAACATTTATTTTTCTCAATAAAAATTAAAAAAATACGTTAAAAGCTTTTTCGTCTAGAGGGCGACACCAACAAAATGTATATCCTTTTCTACTGTTTACAAGTAATAAACGTACGCAAGTGATTTGAATTTATTTTGTTTTATGTCTGTACACTTTGTTATTTTTACATACAATAATTTCGCTCAATTATTTTAAATTAATTTTATCATTTGTTTATTAAAAAAATATATCCGAAATTAAAAGGTATACAATAAGATTTGAATTATAAATTAACTTTTATATTGCACGGGATTTTTTTTTAATGAATACATCTTCGAGTTAAGAAAAATGAATTCCAGCATGTTAACAACTCTTTAAGCTGTAAGGCCCAGTTGTACTACTCCAGTTTAAGTGAGGTTCAACTGAACCTGGTTTAGACTGTGACGAACGTCGTACCATTGTATTTAGATCAACTAGTAAAACAATACCAATGCAAATTATCTTGGAGGACAATGGACAGTATCAATAGATGGCAGCAAGCTCCGTGGTGTCCAAGTCATGTCTTTGATAAATTTGTCGTCTTCGAAACGAACGTAATTTCTCTATTTACTAATAGATGGGCCTATAATCGATTCAGAATATTTGTTTTAAAAATGGAATATACGAGTTTAATTATGTTTGTTAAACATTTATTTACGATTAATTATCATTTTAGAGAATATATACAATAGTAATTTAAATTTAGCACTCTACCCATATGAATTTTAAAATTAAGAAAATTTTATGTATATAGAATTCTGTACTCAATGATCGAGGAAGTGGTAGCCATAGATTACTTGAATAGACTAGTTTTAAATCATAAAACAACCATATTGACTGCATCACATTATTAATATGCTAAGATTTTTTCATTTTTTTATTATAAAACTTCTTGTTAGGTGTCATATTGTCTGTTTTTACTAAAAAATTATTAAGTGTGTTACATATTAAAGTTCCTAATAAATTGGGAAGAAATATAAACATTTTTTAGGTTTTTATTACATCTACATTCATCCTGTTATAGCTGAATGCCTGAATATATTTGGGTAAGTTTTCGTTAAACATTTTAATTACAGATTTGTTGTTGCAAGAAGCAAAGATACAAATGATATCAAAATATGAATTCTTAATCCTTGCATGATCAACAGTCTCTTCACAATATTTTATTACCAAAGGATATGGACACAGAAGCATTAGGTAATTATGCTGAAATATTTAAGTTTGATCTGACAGCCTCTCACATGTCTCTAACAGTAAATGGGTATCTCGGCACCTCTACAAATAAGAGTTTATTGGGAAATATTTTAGAGCAATATGACCCACAAAGACTTACCTGCACCTAGGTAATCTTGCAAAACTTGTCACATTTTTGATGGGACAGCAATAGCTCAAGGTTTGAGAAAGTCCAAAAGTTGCATATCATTTAAAGAATATGCTAATATATTTGTAAAGATTATTTTTAAAAATAAATTTAATGCTCAAAGGATAGATGAGGTATTTAATCATAATAAAGAAAATTTTATCAAACATACAACACGTCAAAAGAGATGATCCTAGAAATCAATTGATGTAGAAATTGACAGACCCAATATTCCACTTCCAGAATAATGAAACTTGTTCCACAGAGGAGGTAAGTACAGAGGGTAAACTTGGTGTGGAGGGGGTAAGTACGCGCAACTACAGCGCGCATCGCAATCGGCCATGTTCTAATTATAACTCAGCTGCGTTACATGTAGTAGAGCTTAACACTATTCATTTTTATATGCGAACTGGCAGTGGCAGCGTGTGTTCTCTTGACTTGTGTACTTGTAAAGTTTGTTGTTATTATTATATTGTAAGTTTATTTGTTGTAACTCGATAAACAATGAGCAATATTAAAGGTGGATTGGTTTGTGCAGCAAGAAATTGTCCAAACAAGACGTACAACTGCAAGTTGAGCTTTTTCGGTTTTCCTAAGGACGAAAGAAAGTAAGTTGAGAAAAAAGTCTTAAGATTGCTTCGGTTAAAATGTAAAATGATCGGATATTATAAATTTTGATACTATCTGTAGAATTTTTAATGTAGGTCCACGTATATTTTTTTTGTAAAAATATAGTGCATTTTACTATGTTTCTTCACTACAATAATTTTTATTTTAAATAATACAATTTTGCCATAATATATCCGATTTTTATTTTTTTTTTAATTTGTAGCCAATTGTTAGCTCTATAATTTGTATAAAAAAATTATTTTTTAAGGCATAATACGTTCATTTGTAATTTTTCATTTAAAGCTTTCTGTTTAAAAAATCATTTTTTTTTTCTTCATTGTGCAAACTTTTTTGGGGACTATAGTGCAGAAACATGGTAAAATATACAATATTTCTACCAAAAAATATTCATGCACATATATTGAAAATTGTGCAAATTGTTTCAAAATTTACAATTTTCAGGAGTTCGATGTTTTTATAGAAGCAATAGCTCTTATCCACTGAAATAAGGATAATAAAATGACTCTAACTTATATATGGGGAAAATATATTAAATACTTATTTGTAAACACTTAATGAGTAATTAATTTTTTAAGAGATTAATAAAATGTACTTATCAACTTATTATTGTTTATGGTGGATTTATGTACCTGTCATTTTTTATTTTATTCTAGTGTTCTACAGTTGGTCAGTTGATCTATTTATTCCTAAAATACCTACTAGAATTATATAAAACTGTACACAAATCTAGCTTTATTCTCAAAATATAATTATTTTATTTTGCCCATAGAAAGTTTATACCTACTTGCTATTTATTACTAAATGGGTTTTGTCCATATTATTATTTTCTTGGAAAAATCATTACTGAATTTAAAATTATCCTTTATTTGGAGACTAATTATCAAAATTAAGTATTCGATATTAGAGTAGGTATAAAGAGACAAAAGATTTATTTTAACTGCTTGTAAATAATTTATTCCAAAAAGGCCAAGGTAATTTAGAAAGTTATAAGTAGATTCAATTGATTTTAATTCCAAATCAACTTTTCCTAATTTTTCCAAATTATATTTTAGGGTTAGAATATATTTTTCTATAAAAAATATTAATAGAAATTTGAAAGACGTGGATAATAACGCTAAATTGTTAATATGAAAAAACCAATAAAAAAAATTTTTCCACGCCCATGTCAGTAAACGTTAAAAATCGTACTGTCAACATTCCTTGTAAATGACATTTAACAATTAGGCATTCCAACGACCTGTCCAAATGGCTACCAGTGGGTAATGACAGTTTAGATATGGCAACCCTGTTGTCATGTTGTCATTAACAGGGTCAATGATACATATATAGTTATATAGATTGCTCAAAGCTGGTCGTTTACGAGCGGCCATATTGCCTGGCAAATATTTATTAATTTGAATCGGTTTAGCAAAAATGTGTTTTAAAACCAATTTTTAGCCTTTAGATATTTAAAAAAAAATAATTGCTTACATTTTTACTTCAAGGCATAAGTTTATGTTTATTTTGAAAAATATGGATGATCAATCTATGTAACTATCTATTTCATTGACCTTGTCAAATCACCAGGCCTACAGGGTTGCCATAATTTTGCCATATCATAACCCGTCAGAACCCACTGGTAGTCATTCAGTTTGGAATGCCTAATTAGGTATTCCAACGACCTGTCCAAATGGCTACCAGTGGGTAATGACAGTTTAGATATGGCAGCCCTGTTGTCATGTTGTCATTAACAGGGTCAATGATACATATATAGTTATATAGATTGATCAAAGCTGGTCGTTTACGAGCGGCCATATTGCCTGGCAAATATTTATTAATCTGAATCGGTTTAGCAAAAATGTGTTTTAAAACCAATTTTTAGCCTTTAGATATTTAAAAAAAATAATTGCTTACATTTTTACTTCAAGGCATAAGCTTATGTTTATTTTGAAAAATATGGATGATCAATCTATGTAACTATCTATTTCATTGACCTTGTCAAATCACTAGGCCTACAGGGTTGCCATAATTTTGCCATATCATAACCCGTCAGAACCCACTGGTAGCCATTCAGTTTGGAATGCCTAATTAGGCATTCCAACGACCTGTCAAACAATAGGTGCCAGTGGGAAATTCTTGTATATTTAAGGGGGTAGCGACATAGTCTTGCAACTTGGACGCTACTTTTATTCGAAGTAGTACTCGCCAAGCCTGCCAATTTATGAAGAAATGTATAGGTGGGTTTTTTAAATAATATTTTTATTGTTGTTGACATAAAATATTTAAATGTAATCCATTATTCATGATTTTACGTAAAGTAGATAGAATACACCATATGTCGCCACCCTTAGATATACCAAACCTGCCCACTGGTAATTCATTTGTTTGGAATGCCTAATAGCATGCACGTAATGAGATCTCAGGCATTGCGTTCGGTCTGCCAAGTTCCTTTAACACTTTTAACTCCAAACGACCCTTTTAGCGTTAGGTTTAGTCCGATTAGTGACAGTTTAACACGCTTAAATGTCATTTAAAAGCACCCTAAAATTTGTCCCGCTCCAGCCCCTGACTGACCGAACTCGCCTATAATATACACGTGCTTTTTGATAAAAAAAACTTAAATTTCTTAGTTTAATTAAATTGCAATCAAATTTTTATCTACGTAAGACTTTATTTGGTTCATTTACATAAATTTAGTCAATTTAAAAACATAAAAACTTTTAGCAATAGCGATATACATTTTGGATTAAATTATGCCCCTAAATGTCGGCAACACATTATACTTAATATTGTATTTGAACATTTTCTTAACTCTACCTATGAATATATCTGTTAGTAGTGAAAGTGATGAGATTATGAGCACTCCACCCGAGATTTTAGAAATAGCTCAAGCTGCCATACATAATTTGCTACCGCTAAAATCCAAAAAAGGTACGAAATTACCCATCGAAAATTTATGGATTAGCGACACAAGCATATGTCCTTTATTTAATAGAAGAAAATAAGTGGGCGTAGAAAAAGTATAGTACGTTACACGAGTTGTAAGCCCATTACGCACTTGTAAAATTTACGCACTCGCCGCTGCGCGGCTTGGTACGTAAACTTTTTCACTTCGTGCGTAATGGGTTACTTACAACTCTTGTTACGTAATATACTATTATATTTCATTGTGTTTCTTTATGTATTTCAAATATTTGTATACTTACATGGACAGCTTAGTATATAAAATATCATTTATTAAAAATCTACACCAGACTATATTTATATGAGTTTTATGACCGATGTAAATCTAAGTTCAGGTCATTTTTGTCCTGAATAATTGGATCTAGGCAAAATATTTTTATACTACTCATAGTTCTATAAATTTGTTTATATAATTTTAAACTATCTCAAGAATGGATTTTACTATACACGCGACTTTATTTCCAGAAATTATTTTTTAAATCCTGATATATCTTTTCATTACACCCTGTAAAACAACTCGTACCTGATTTTAGTTATAATTCAAATTAAAAAATAAAATTAAATTCAAAACAAAACAAATTCATTACCAAAATGAATTTCTTGAGTACGGATCTTCCCTTTGGTAACATAATTATCAAAATGCGGGCCTGACTTCTATAATTTGAACATGGCCGCCGGTGACTTAGCGAGATCAATCGTGCCGACACCGAGTTTGTTCTCTGTACTTACATCCTCTGTGCTTGTTCATTCATTCGATATTTAATAAAAGACGTTTAACACATTTTCTGTCAGAGCCACTTCTTGAAAATGTGTATTTAGTGATGGATTCGCGAGTATCAATAAGTATGGGATGAATTTTGAACCATCAAAAGACGGTTTCTTAAATTTAAATCATGAAGAAACTGTTACTCGTATCTTATTGCACATATTATCAGTCAGAAATTCGGGGAATTCACGCTGCATTATTGATTGCAACGATACAGATGTTCTAGTCTTATTAATTTATTTTAAGTAGTTTTGAACTAAAAAGATATGGTTCAAAATAGGGCGAGGAGACTCGTGACGATTTATAACATGATTTAAGATTGGATAAAAAAACTTCTAAAAAATTTGCCTTCTTTTCATTCTGTGACCGGTCGTAATAAATCCAACCAATTGTTTGGCATTGGAAAAAGAACCTGTTGAAAAACCTACCTTGAACACCATCACCTTTTGGATGGATTTGGCACCGATTCGTAGGTACTCTGCATGAAAACACATTCTCTAATCTTGAAAAATTTTTCATAAACTGTATTAAAAAACTGCCAATGTTACTTCCATTAACATTTTGAGGAGATTAATGGTACCTTTAAAATAATTTCTAAATTGCCATTGACTGAAGACGCCCTAAGATTACATTGTTTAAGATGTTTTTACCAGCTAAGTATTTGGCTAAGCTCTTTAAAGACCCAGATGCAGCTTCCTAATGTTGAAGAGTATTAATGGAAAGTAGATCAAGATTGAGGTCTGATACTCACTCTTAAGATTATGCTCGACCTGCTACCAAAAATAACAACTTATCATGCAAATGCAAAAAGGTACTATACACCGATAATTTTCATATATGTACAATATTTTAACAATATTATTCTATTCTAGACTATGGAAGCAAAATTTGCAAATGCAAAAAAAATATTGGCTACATCGGTTAATGCACCTGTATGGCACAGAAAAACTGCAGAAATAGTTTGATCATAGCCGCTAATGTTTTGGAAAATGTAGATTAATGTGGTGAATCTGATTTTGATTAGTTTGAGTCCTGTACCTATATATTTTAATATTATTAATTTATGCTTTATATACTTCTAATTAGTGAATTTTTTTATTAGGAATTTATTGTATTCTGCAAAGCAATAGCCTTACTGTTTATAATGTATACTTATATATACTGTGCTTATACCTTCCATAAATAGTTTATATTTTTTTATTTTCCTCAAAAAAAAATCATGAAGTAATACACCCTATAAAACATTATTCGCCTTCATAGCGGATAAATCAATAATACCTATATAAAATAATGTAAGAGAGTCAAACAGATTGCATACATTTCATCCCTGAGAGAGACGCATACAGTCAAGAGGCTGCTTCCTTTCCTGTAAAACCATGACATCAGTAATTGTTTATTGCTATATTTTTGTTAATTTCACAGCAAAAAATATAAGGAAAGCACTATTACCTTGTCAATACACAGGCGAAACTTTTATGAAGAATATTTTTTTTTTCGTTTAGGCCTTTGTTTTTCGTCAAATGAAAGGTATATTTCTAAAAGATTTTTTAACCAAATTTGTCGATAGCCAAAATAAGTTTCAATCTACACCATACTTATATTGTAAAATACATAGGTAATATTATTTTGTGCTATTGTGGAATATTTTTCGATTCCTTTGTCTTCAACTTCGCGCGTTAAAGTTTAGAATATGCATCCCTCGTATCTACATGCAATTGTTAAAATTATAAATGAATGCTGATTTTGTTTGGTCTCGGAAGTAATTTTGTAGCATTTAGGCTCCACTCTTAATTTGTAATTTTTATACCTACTAAACTACCGTTGCCCCGCAGGTCTTTTAGTTTGTAATGTAAATTTTCCTCTTAATAGTTAAAGAAACTGCTAATTTTGGTAAAATTATAACAAAATGACCTAAACCAATTATTTAAGTGTAAATGATAAAGATAAATAATAAGTTATCGCGAAAGCTTAAGGGATGAGTTTTCTTACTTAAGGTCCAAGTGTTTTTCAATATTATTTAAAATTGTTATTTTATGTTAAAACCTTTAAATTACTTATTAAAATGTAAATTTTCTTCAGTTATTGGTAAAAAAATATGCTATACAATTTCTAGTGGTTTCTTCCTATCGTACTCTGCCTATGTGGCGTTGTGAACAAACTACGTCTCCGTGTAATTTGGTCATCTTTATCTATCAACTTTTGTTGCACAAACTATTATTTGACTTGTATAAATAGTTTATTTAATTTTTGTAGATCGTATGTTTTAAAACATATAAAAGTAGGAAACTTTTAAATTTCAAGTACTCAGAAAATCCAATTACTTTAAGAAAGTCAGTTGTTATAATACTTATGGTTCGAATTAAAAAATTGTGCGCAAACTTCTTGTTTTACCAGATCATATGAAGCTAAAAATCTTAAATTCTTTGTGGATATTGGCCAACATTCAAATAAAAATTTTCAAAAACCTTGACTGAAGACTTCAAAGAAATCAGCCGATTAATTGAGCACAGAAACATTTAACTTTATAATACTGAAATAAAACAAATATATCCCAGATGTGAAATATTTATTTGAACTTAGAGTTCACAAGATCAAGGAAAATCATTCATTTCGTCAAATACAATATGCTAATTAATCTTAAAACATCTTTCAAATTCAAATATGGACATACATATTTATTACCGATCGCTCAGTAGAATACCACTCTGTATGGTTACAGTAAAGTTCTAGACGTAAAAAAATAAACAAAAAAAATCACAAACTCCATAATTACAGAAACAATAATGCCTATATATTAAAATACTTCAATATGTAAGAACTATAAATTAACATTTTCTATGTTATTTTGCACCATCTGTTTTTACCATCTTTCCTGTGTCACCTGAAAAAAAAAAAAAAATAATAAATAAATAAATAAATATATATACAATAGTATATATTTTATTATTCAACTAGCGCACAATGATGGGCTGTTTACCCACGAGATGATGAAACCATTTCAGTACTATACATTTTAATATTTTTTTTTTTTACTTGGATGATTCTTAGCTATAGTTGGAATCGGTAGGTGGCGTTATTTTCTAGATCCAGGTCCACTAATATTTTACTGAAAATATGTGTAGTATGATAAAAATTATTTTTTATATTTTATACATAACTTTAGTTACAGATATTGTCTTTACTGTTTTAACCTCATCAAATGAATTATTTACACATAAAATAGGTTAAAAATGTATTAAAAACTGAAAATGATATTAAAATTATTAGGACCCCAGGCGAATTTGAAGAATAATTTATTCTAATTGATAAAATATCCACAAGCAGGTAAAAAAGTACCAATAAAAAAAAAATAAAAAAATGTTAAAAATTAGCATTCTTAAATTCTTCTATCTGTTCATGATTAATACTTACTTTCAGAACCTTCTAATTCTCCTCCCGAACGACGACGTTTACGAGCAGATCTATCTCTTCGGAATGCTTTTTGAGGGGCCGGTAGGGGGTCCATTCCTAATACCTATTAAAAAAAAGTACTTTAAAAATAGCTATAGTGCTTTAGTTATTTTACTAAAATATTCGTTGTATTTATAATTTTAAATTGCAACAACCAAAAGTTTAAAGAACTCTCCCTAAAAATCATTCTATTCTATCCTATCGTTGTCAACACATCTAATTAGAGTTTAAGATGTTTTTATAAATGTAAAAGAGTAACACTTACCTTATAAATCTGTCTATATGCAATTAACCTAAGGGCATATTGCGCCGAACACGTGAGATCCTCCCTCTGTTGGGCATTCAAAGCTCCAGAGGCGTCGGGATTATCTTTTTCGCAAGGATCAGCCAAGCCCGGACCTCCTGGTAAGAGCAAACCACTAGCCACTGCTTCCATGACTCTTCTGAGGGCATCTCCTGGTGATAATTGGGACGAACCAGGTACCGACGATATTACTTTCTCTGCTAACAATTCCATTGCCTGTAAAACAAAATTATTATTTCACAGATTAGATATTCGATCATTCAAGACCAATATGAATAATTTGGTAATGTTTGGAATGAGTTTGGGGTCATTTAAAACTTTTATAAGGAGAGAAATAAGATTTTAGTTAGGGTACAAATAGATATTTGTATTCAAGGTGAGAAGACGTGTTCGTTTCATTGCGCAAATAAATCTATATTTCTACCGATATAAACTATACAATGTTAAAAAAAAAACAACTATAATCGAATTAAATTACCGGTTTTGAGCTTACATTAAATTGTAATTAGATGAAACAAAATGGATTCTATGTATTTTGAGGTGATCTTTTCGAAAAAAGGCAAAACAAAATGTAGCAGTTTTTCAAAAGTGCCGAAATTTTGGATTTTGTCAATTTTGCGCATGTCGCAAATAAATCAATATTTTTAAAACGCAGTTTACGACATTTGAAAGCTTAGAAAAAATGCTAAATTTTATGTCTCCTGAGAAATTTTGATCCGATGGACCGTTCTCGCGGTATGGACGATTGAAATTTGTTTAGTATTTTGAGGAGGCGAAGGTCGGAAAATTGAATTTGTTAAATGTTCAAACACTAAATTCTTCATAACTTTGTTAAAAATTAAGATATTTGAAGAAACAAAAATTAGTTTTGAACTTAAGGGATGTGACTATTGATTCCCATAAAGGGACAGGAGAAATCCCAAAATTGGACATATGGCGGAAGGGCAAAGTGTACCGCAAGCCTAATTTCATTGTTTGCCTATAACGGCCAAACTATTTAAATTTTTTTAATGCTACTTACAGAGCTTACTCTTAAATATGAAATCTTATACGTGTGTGAATTTTACCAAAATCGGATTATAATTGGCCAAGATATCAAACAATTTAACAAATTTTTTTCCCTAAAAAAAAAAACTAATTTTTTTCCGAAAGTTTGAAGTGGCACAAAAATGCCAAAAACGCACTTAATGACTCAAAACTTTTTTTTTTAATACTCTATTATGTCTAGAATACGATTACATTACGGAAAATTCTGCAAAAATAATTTTATCTATTTTTTTGATCACTGTTCATTGAGTGACGACCAAAAAACACGGTTTTTGAGAAAAGTTGCCTAAAATTGACGATTTTCAGTTTTTTGGTCTGAAAATTGAGCAAACCCAAATCTCATGTCTTCTGAATGTGTATACAAAGTTTAAAGTGTGTATGTTTCTTCTAAGTTGTAGAATTCTCCCGACAAATGTCCCATTACACGCGCTCCGCGGGATCCAAATCACATGCATTTCTGTAATTTGATTTTTTTGTGATTTCCAGTTTTAAATTTCTTAGATACCTAAATTTATTAGGCCTAAAATTTATTAAATTGTATTTTATTGACTTGTTATAAGACGTTTCTTGAGTTTTGTGCAAAATATAGAATTACCGCCAAATTAGCCGTACGTCGCATCAAGGATAGTAATGGTCTCGGTTTTCGCTATCTGACAAGTTTAAACTTCAAACGGTCATATTTTTACAAATTGAATCGCTTGATAGTGTTCATCGGCATAGATTTTTAATAACCGTGTTCAGCAAGCTCTGTGTACACGTGCCTTTTCGAACTTCTTCAGCAATTTATTGAGTAAGTACGTTCCTAAATTAAGAAAATTATATCACAGTGCTATAATTTTTTTGTTTCCAGGTTGCAATGGCTGGCTTGTGTTTATTATGTCATCATTTATTATGCTACCTATGAAATTCGAAATATAACCGAAAACTACGCATTTTTTGTGCTTAGAAAATTGCTCGTAAAACGAGTGGTTTTTTCTTAAATCCAACATGTTCCCTTTTTTTTAAGAAAAAAACAAGCACACTGTCGATTTTTTCCGTAATTTGGGCACTTTCCAGACTAAAAATATATTAGAATCAGTAAGTTTAATGAGAAACAAGCTTACTTTCTCTCCCAATTGCCAGAAAATTCGAGTAGCTTCAATTCTCGCGAGAATTACCTATCTTTTCACACGTGCGCTCAGAAAACAGTGGATGCTAGAAAAAATGTATATGCCACAGTTTTTCGTGTCTTTTTTTTTCTCTATCATCTGATGAAAACAGTTTTCTATTCAGATAATTAGTTTTCGAGTTAATTAAGAAAAAATTACGAGAAATTAAGAAAAAATTGTTTTACAATTTTTTTCAAAAAGTTCGGAACGTAACTAGAAAATGCGTATTTTTGTCATGCATATATACCTATCTTCTCCCATTTCAAGTTTTCTTGTAAATAACTAAAAACCAGATATTACCCAGCAAACATTTTCTATAACATTAGTTATAACTCGACTTTGTAAAAGACGAATTTACTTATTGAGGTAATTATTACGTAAAATTGACTAGAAAAATATACCTCTAATGTAAATTTACCAAACGGTTTTCATTTATATTTAAATTTACGTAAATTCTACCAAGAAATCTACTTTTTACACAAATCTGCTTAAAAGTAACTTTAACCATATCAGCAAGGGAAAAACTACTAAAAAAAATAACCAACAATTACTTCAAAGTTAAATTTCCTTTGTAGTAAAATTAGGTGCCATATTTAGGTAATATTTACCTGTTTGGCAACTAAAAATCGTCTTTATAGTAGAATATCTAACTAGGTAGATTTGGTTAAAAATTCTACGTAATTTTATGCCTCCATAGTAACCTATTTGGCCGCTTTTATTTACTCTCCTTTAAAGTAATATTAGGTCGAGATCGTAGCAAAATTCTACCTGTTTATCTACCTAATTTCAACCAAATAGTCGAATACTCATTTAGTTGACCTATAAGTCATCTTGAAGAAATATTTATTAACTTTGTTGTAGCAATTACCTGAAAAATCTACCACAAAGTAAATTCGACTAAAAACCACCAATTTAAAAAGAGCCATACATGACCTATTTGTAAAATTTATATTATTTAGGTTATTTTAACAATTAGGTTGTTCAGTTACTGTCTTCGTCATTATTCTTAAGAATTTCGGCCATTTTAAAAAAACCATTATAGTCGTAATCTTAATTTACGTGTGGTGTAAATAGAGCTTTAAATGAGTGCGAAAAATAATTAATAAAATGAGTTCGAAAAATAATTAAATCATATCGTTATACTTCCGATTTTTATCGTAAAGTGAAACGTCTAAAATATCAAGTGCAGAACAACGTGACCTAAATATGTTATATTTACCTATAGGTAATTTTTTTATAAAACCTATAAGTTATTATTTCTTTAAATAGGTAAAGTTAACTAATATGTCGTGAAATTGAAGTTAATTCAACTTAATAAAAAGGTATTTGTAAAATACGTAGATTTCCTTAGTCATAATAACTTTTAGGTCGAATGCGCACAATACGCCATATTTTCTTAACGTAATTAAAGTACGATTCCAAATTTTAAATTTTTAAAATGACCATAACTAAAACATACGAATGAAAATACCGAAAAACGAAACATTATTGATTTTCTAAAGTGATACACAACAAACGTAACATAGTTTTAGCTCATACTATTATTATTATTTTTTTACACGATCATATTTTTTTCTTTTATTTTTTTAATTAGAGAGTATTTTGGAAGGGCATTGTTATTTTTCTAAGTAGAACTGTTAACATGCACGACAAAATTTTCTTCGCATTAATTTCAACAAGCGTGAACTGTATATTCACCGCAATTATATATATTTTTGTCACAGACATTTATTTATTTTCAATCTTTCATGTGAATTAGGTATATGTTTTAGTTGTGTTGGTGACTTCTTACAATATTTCTACTTATATATAGATAAAAATTCCAAATAAGTATAAAATTTCTTTTCGTACATTTGGAGGCATACGTCATCTGCAAATATTTTGGTAGTTTCTACCTAAACTTAGTTAAATCAACGTCGAATTAACGTTATGCTGACGTCAAATTTCCCTAGAGAGGTATTACTAACCAAACGTACTGGGCTACTACAATGTGGATTTAGATGTAATTCTACCTATTTTGGTAAATAAAACCAAATTTCCACTTATGTCGAATCCACGTCGAGCCAACGTAAATTTTACTTAATTATGGTTAAATCTAATTTTGCGACCAAATTTATTATATATAATTTAGGTAGTATCGACGTCAAATTACACCAAAATGTTTGCTGGGTAGAGAACAAAAAGTAAGCTTATCACCAAGTTGGAACTTACACTCAGGCTTAGGATTAATTTCCTAACATATTTAAAGTATACCTATTTGTGTATTTTTTTTTGTGCTCTTTTCAATGGCGAAGTTAGTTTTTTCAAATATATTTTTTTGTTAGATGTTTTCGGAAAACCCGGAAAAAATCATATGGGAAAAAAATTAAAAAAAAAACTACGCCTTCCGGTTTCCAGCGAATTCCCGAAAAATTATGGCAGATTTCACCGCGGGACTTATTTTATTTGAGAGCCAACAAAAAAATACGCAACTTCTCTCACGGGCACATATGTCTAACATTTATAATTTCGCCACAAATTCATCGCAAATTTCATGTCCATGGTTCTGATCAAAAAAACGAAAAAAAAAAAAAAAAACTTTTTGGTAAAAGCACTTCTGGCGGCGAGAAATTCGCCATTAAAACTACCTGTGCAATGAATTTCCGAACTATTTTTGTCTCCTCTTTCGAATGGTGCATTTATTTTCACTATCGGAATGATACTTGCCCAGATAATTCGCATTTTTACAATGGAAAATTCCGGAAAACCCGTTATTCATTTGGACTATTATTATATAATTGGTTTCCATTATTGTATTTTATTATAACTTATTTCTTATTGTAACATAACAATTAAATCTTATTAGGTATAATTTTGTACATACCCATGAACTGAGAGGTGACCACGTAGGAACTCTTTGGCACAAGTCTCTTAGGATTCGAATGATGATCACACAGGAATGAAGACCCAATGCCCTGGCCTGCAACCAAAACTCGTTAAAAATTTTTTTAATGTATTTAAATAATTTTTAAGGGTTCTACCAAACTACGTTTTAGCAATAGAAAAGGTTGATGCATAAACAAATTTAATAATTATATTTAAGAAACTCCAACAATAAAAAAAATATCTAGCAAAATTTATTTATATTGAAGAAAGTAGAACCCTTGTCATTTAAATTTACGTTTAATTACTACATGAGATGTGACGTTTTCATTTACTTTTATTAGCAACTATTTAAAAAAAAAATTAATTATAAACAAAATGTTTGAAATGAGTAAAAAAGGGAATAGAAGTAAACCAATCTATTTTTAATCATAATGAATTAAAAGAAACACCTCGATTCCCTAGTTTCAGATATTTTATGTAAAAACTCACATCGTCATTTAAAGATTAAATTAAAATTATAGTAGGTATCCGTTTTCGTGTCATAATACACATTTTTTTTTTTTTTTTAATTTTCAATATCGTCTAATTAAATAAGCTTTTATTTAGTGCGTTACACGGTGTGAGAGAAGACACAAACCTGGAACCATTTGGTATGTCTGAGGGCTGCCAGCGCCTGGAGACACTTGCCGCGTGAGAGAACATCCCGGTCGAACCCGCCGCTCGCAGCTTCTAGACATCAAAAGAAAAGGGTGTTTGACCATCGCGAGCTCACCTTTGCCACTCGACGGGCTCCACAAATTTAGAGCCCAGATCTTGTGGCGGCGATGAGCTGGTTGGTCAAAAATCCTTAGTCCCACACCACCTAAAATCACCACTAAAACAAGCATAAAGCACAGTACAGTTTTTATAAGTATTGGACTGAAATATTGTTGATTAAATTTATTAAAACTAAGAAGTTCCAGATGGTGGTCACCTGAGCCCACTGCTGTTTACCATTTACAGATCTGCTTAAGATAGATGACAATTTGTATATTATACTAAGTAGATTCTTCTTATCTCGTATCAGTCGCGCTGTTTTCTTATTTAATTCTCACCATTTTCCAGCGACTGATACAGACTGTCGATAAAAACTGTAAAAAAGTCCAATATTTATTAGCAATTTTCAAGGTTTAAGCTGTATAATATAAATAATTTTCTCTTCGCTCTAGTTACTAAATAATATTAAAGTTTATTTGGTTTAATAACTATTTCAAAACCAAGTGTCTTTACTTTAAATAATTAGAACTTGTAATTGTTATAATAGTCACGTCATATTAGCATGAATATAAAATTGGTAAAATTAACATTCCGAATTAGCAAGTCAAATACAAAAGATTAAAATAACCAAAAAAGGTTGACAGCTGTGTGCACGTAGTTTAGATTCAAAAGGAAAAACTTGTATTTCGTGCAAAACTTTTTTATTAATCAATGCAAAGCGCTTTCGGCTTATTTGCCATCATCAGTGCTCATCTACAAAAATTGTGGATGTAAACTTACAATTTAAAAAGATTTTAAAAAATATATTATAAAATCTGAATTAGACTTTTAAGTCAAAAGTTAAAATAGTATATATACAATTGTTTGAACTAATTAAAAATTACAAGAAACAAACAAAGTGACAAAAAACTGGTATTGGGAATAGTGAGTGTGGGATAAGCCCTTACAAATCAAATCTGATCTCCAGAAGCAAGTTAGCTTGTGTGGAATTAAGGAATCATGCCACCCTCACTATTCACAAAATTGAAAAAAGGTTAACAAATTAGTTAAAATTTAAAGAAATTTACAATTAGAGGGTGACTGTGGAAGATATATTGAAATTTGAATCTAGAATACAATATTTGATATGAAGAAAGTAAAACGCAGAAGGCCAAAGTAAAAAAACTGAAGGTTTTTTTTATATATTTTATATACATTATAATTATGAAAAAGTCTACCTACTGTCCACAACGTATCCAACAAGTTCCTGGTCATCCTCACTCCCAAAATTATATATTTCGGGATATTTACAACTTTCTAAATCATAATTTTATTAATATTAATATTTTCAAATTTAAATTTCTCTCTTCATTTTGGTTCAAGTTGTTTAACCGTTTCCACATGACAGTGGTGACAAGCGACACTTGGAGACTTTGACTTGTCAAATGTCAACAGAAGGAGGTGCGTTCACCTCAGTGTGGAACATGTTTCTCCGAGTGTGATTCGAGTGATTGGAGGTTAACGGAGATCAAAATTTGTTATTGAATTTAAAGATTTAATTTATTGTTAAATTTAAATAAATGTTTAATATAAATGATATTATTATTTTGATGTCAAGACAAAACAAAAATGTCACTCGCGTGATTCTGATGTGCCAGCCCGGGCTCTGCAGAACATTCTTTCAGAGAACCCAAGATGGCACAACTGAACCCGCGGTCCCTAAAGGTGAATCTGATGTTTAGTCCTAAAAATTACTAAATCACTCAACAAGCGTACTCATGGTTAAAAGAGACAAAATAGAGAACAAAAAAGTTTTAAACAAAGGAGTACCATGGTCCCAAAGGTAGGCTCTGATGGGTGAAATCGAGTTTAGGAGGGGATGGCTCTCGAAGGCTTGTATTGGGTGACTCGGACCTACATCATCATAGAGGGTTAATTGAGTTGTCTATGGAGTGGTATGAAATTTCTGTTAAGGTTCACTTGAGTGTTGAGAGTGTTTGCATAAGAAAAGTGCGTGGTCCTTTATTGAGTAAAAAAAACTTGTGATTTGACTTGCTTTACAATTTCTCATAAAATATATTTTCTTCGCTACCTTTACATAGCAATGTGTATAAAAGTATTCTAAACCTGTTACCCATCTTCGTGGAATTCCTAGATAAACAGCCTCCTTTTCATTTTTCTTTAGAAGCTTACCATTTAAAAGATATTCCTTTTGCTGCAGAATCTAGTAGATCCATTCGCTAATCAATAATTACCAACAGAACAAAAGATGCTAACAAAAAATAGTAAATTTATAAAAAAATAACACATTAATAAAATATACAGGACGAGTAACAAATAAAGTGACATAATAGAGTAACTGTAGAACGTTTGACTCAAGAGATTATGATGATAAAACTAAAATGAATAAAATATTCATAATTAAATTTTTTAATTGTTTTTTGTTTTCATAGTCCAGTAACTGAAGACCTGAAAATATGCAAAGGTGTCATTAAGTTGGTCCATATTTCCTTTGTGGCTCAATTCTTATGTCTTGACGGTTGCTTTAAAGGGGGCGAAAACTTTTACCAACACTGCTGGGTCGGAAAGGACTCAAAATGGCCCTTAAAGTCAGAAAAAATGGTTTCCCGCTAATATCCCGATTTCTGGAAAATGGAGCAACTTTACTAAAAAAAATACATTCGAAAAGTAGACACTCTAAGCTTTAAAATGGCGTGCATTGAATAACAATATAATGAAATATGAGTTTCTAATTACTGCTTGTTTCAGAGATTTCTAGAACTCCGAAAACGTATAAAAAATTAAAATAAACAAATCAATTTTGTTTTAAAACGCCAGGAAGATACTGGAAAAGAATTTCTGAGATCATTCGAGACATCTCAAGATCTCATTTAAAACAAAAATGGGATAAAAAACTATTAAAAGAAAAAAAATATGAATGAATTACTATAAAATGGTCCAAAATAGTGGGAAAACGCAACTTTGGCCCCTTTTTCAATGTTCTTGACAGGAAATAACGGGCTTCAAGGCACATGGATCCATACCTATGGGTTTTCCCATTGTAATGAACTTTGAATCATCGAAAAATATCAATTTTTGACCGAGTTCTGAAACAATTTGTCTTACAAGAGATGGGGAAATTAATTATCTCTGCTCAGTCAGAGAGAGGGTCGTAGGTGATTTTTTCTTTTTGTCCTCGAACTTGGCTGAATGATTGACTTGGTCAAGACTGTCTGGCGATTGTACCGAAATACAATCGATTATTACCTGGGTAAATTATCTTATGTACACCGCAAATGAAAAAGAAGAATATTGAATAATTTTAAAGGTTATGGTATATAATTAAAACGAGTTTATCAAATATTTAAAGGAGAATCTTGAGGTTTTATTCAATACCTAGCTATAATTTCGGTTGTATAGGTAAGTTTTTTGAATTTAATATACAGCTTACGTACCGTTTAAAATAGATATCTATCTTGGGTGGCTTACAAAATAAATGATTGTAATATATACAAACTAAAAGGTTAAAACTGGTTATTAATATATACAATTTTCAGAATATTTCCAAACACTGAGGGTGGAGATATAATCAGTAAAATTCCTACCTTGGAGATTGACACTATCCTACCTAGGCAAGGGTTGAATTCGAAGACCTCTTTGGAAGGGTTACTTGACAAGATTGGATTCAAATGAAATGAAATGAATAGGTCCACTTATTTAACCTCCAATTAAAATATCGTCCTTTTTCTCGTTTGTAGGTAACTCCAGTGAGTAAGGGATGAAAATGGTGTCTCAATAGTTTACTACTATCCAGCAGTAAGGTCCTCAAATATAGCTGTCCTTGAGACTACCTCAAATTAATGTGATGTCCGGAATTACACGTAACTGTTCCAATGTAAATTAATCGAACAAGAAAAATGAAATGAAACTATCTATGACTACGATAGCCAGAAAAGAAAAAAGGCCTAAAATACAAAATACTACTTTATATATATAATCTTATATTAAGGAAGGACAAATAAGTGATAATTGAGAAATTACTGTACCTGGGTTGTAATGTGGCCTTTTTTTGAAGTAAGTTTTGCTTAATTGAAAATAAAATCCTCTTGTGAGATTAAGTATGCCAACAAATAGCAATACTAAATAAATTTTCAATGTCTTTTCGTTTCTAGTACCTTATATCCTTATAAAAAGATCTTCAAAATCACATGTTCCATGAAGGGATACTAGGAGAATGAAAAATGGAAGCAGGATATGCACCGACAAAATTAATGACTTCCACAGGAAATGATGATAAAATATGAAAGGTAATTTAAAATATTATTAGCCAATTTCTCACAATCACCTATTTAATTTCAAAATTAACCAGATTATTTGGGGTTTTAATTATTTGTAATGAATTAGACAATTACCTGAATAAATTTGAATGACATAATGTCATAATTAATGTAAATAAACAAATAAAATGAACCCTGAAACCATTTATAGAATTCAAAACGTTTCTTTGCCCCTTTTAGGCTCCTAGAACTCAACTACAAACTAATTAAGAAAAACAATGGAAAATATATCTACACCAGAACGAATCTTCAAAACAAGGAAGAAATACTTGATAAAAGGTTAAACTTCTACAATTTCCAATTTGACAATGGACTTATAAAAGGTATTTTTTCATTCTAGTTAACTCACAGAACATGAGAAATGGATCTCCTATTAAACTTCTACCCAAAACGGAATATACGGAGCGATCTTTTAATAGATTTTATTCCTATTATACTTAAATAATAAATTAAAAGTTAAATGTCAATACTATAAATATTATTTTTGTGGTAAAAGCATCGCAGTACATTCATATGGATTTTAAACCGTAACACTAATCAGCATTGCTATAGAGATAAAGCAGGGGCTGAACGAGGGGACTTTTGATTGCGGTTATCTCGAAACCTAACGAATTCCCGACAAAAATGATAGGGACCATTTTTGTAGATAATGATAAGATCTTTCTTTTTTAACTAAACAAAAATTTTCTAATTTGCATATTGTGGAAGATATTGGCGGGAAACCAGTTTTAGGGTCCATTTTCAGCCCTTTCCGACGCAGCAGAGTTGGTAAAAGTTTTCGACCTTGGAAGTGACCGCCGAGACCTAAGAATTGAGCCACAACGGAAATCTGGACCGACTTAATGACTGGTTGGTCCTTCAGTTAAAGATTAATATTTTGTTACTAGTAAAATAATAACTAAAGCCGCGTTCAGAAAGTCTAAATTATTCATTTTGTAATAATAATAATAATTTATATTTGTAAAATCCCAAATCCTTACTTGAAACATAAATATTTTTAGAAGTTTTTTCCTTTTGTAAATTCTAAATTTTTAGTCCATGATGATTTTTTTAAATTATGAACGCTTGAAAAAAATGGTAGTTACTAAGAGTAAAAAGCTCTTTACGTGTTTCATCCAGTTCTCACATCCTCCTAGCGCCTTGACTCCAAATAAACTTCGTCTACTACTCCTAGTAACACTAATATTATTGTGGGTATGTTGAACCAAATATTGCAGGTGAATTTTATTTTATATCATTCATTATGAACATTTTAAATCATCATATTTTAATTCAAAGATTCTCCAGTTACTTTATGTCATTATTCAACAAAATAAGATTTCTTTTTAAAAACTAAAAAACTTTGCATAAAATTTAGTAGTTCATTTGTCCATAAATACGGTTTCAATAATAAATATAAATGTATTGGAGTCATTATATAAAAATAATGAATAAGGTAAATTAGGCCTATTAGGCCTAAATCGTACATATATGTTGCATTTATTAATTTATACAGGGTAGTTATAAATTGATACATAGGAGGTATATCTAAATAAAATATCATTACATTTGATCAATTTGGTTTCACACATTTATAAATTTTAATAACATTTCATGCAGTAAGAAGTTGTAAAGTTATATCTTTAAATATTCAATTGGGTTTAAATCCGAACTTTTTGCTGTCCAAATCATTGTTAGAATAACAGTAATAACATTAATCCAAAATAATTAAAAATAGGCTTCGTACCGACTTAAATTTGCAAAAAAAATTTGAAACTATAAACACTATAAAAATAGATAAAATAACAAGATCACGTTACAAAATGGCGCCCAACGTGGTAACATAACAAAAAGAAAACGTAACCTTACAATTTCAAAACTTTCTAAATTCCTCAACTATTCTGCAAGGCAGTGACGTCATAAATGATCTCTGACGTGCATCGGGATTTGTATTAAAAATACTATATATTAAATGATTTAACAAGGGCTGTAAAAAAATAGCAATTTCTTTTATATAAAATGTAAAATACAGTGGATCAACAGACTATGAACATATTAGGAGTTACAGGCCAAGGAAAATTTAAACTAGTTTCAAAGGGAGATTGAAATGGCAGGAAAATGAGAAGAATAAAAATGTGGCAGACCCCATCTAAGTAAAAAGGCCTAGATGGTGATGTCAATAAAATTAAAAAAATATATATTGCACTGTTTTCATTGTACAAATAATTTTGGAATACAAAAAAAATAAATTTTCACTAATCTGTTTTTACAATAATTACAATGCAATATCAACTTTTTTGAATATAGTCTTCAATTTGACTTTGCTTATCCTTAGAAATTATGATTAGATACTCTTTTTCCTTTATTAATAAATAATAATTAAAGAATGTAAAAAAAAATAAATCAATTACTCTATTCCATCTTTATCACTTATTTTTTTTGTAAAATATTACTTTTTTTCCATTCAAAACTTTTAACAACCCCATCTTACTTATTATTCGATTAATGCTGCTCAATTTCAGATGATAGTAACCGAAAAATATATAATTTAAAACAATGCAAAAAAGAAAACTATATTAAGAAATCAAATTTTATGCAAACTCTCTTAATCATATACCAATTTTTCTTCTCTATAATTATCCACAAAATGCTATTTTAACAAAACAAAATTAAAACAGAAACCAGCTTAAACCCTGTACAGTACTGTACACATTTAACCTCACTCACTCTACAATTCTTTCAACCTCTTTACCTTGCTGTTCCCTAATCACGGGACTCGTAAACTGCACCAGGACCGTCAAGTTGTCTCCTGCAATGATAAGTCCGGCTTCGGATGCGTTAATAGCTACGGTGTAGGAATTATCGGTAGCTACTTGCTTCAAAGCGGGCGGTAGAAGTTCCACAACCTTCTTCAAGAGAGTGAGCGTGGGTTTGTCGGCGCAAAGTACAACAAGCTCGACGTTGGTGTCTCCGCGAAGAAGTAGACCTTTGGCGAGGTGGCCTACTCGCATTACTCCCTTCAAAATGCGATTTTGATCACCTTGTTGAAATGAAAACCTTTAAATAATAAAAAAAAATAGTATAATATGATTAATAAATAAATTAACCTTTGGAGAAAAGGATGAAACATTCCATGAGAAAGCTAATCAAAAACAAGCTTTCGTTGCACAATTTTTTCAGGTAATGGCGGTTTTGTTAATACAGTGGCTTTATTTGGTTATCACAGAAAACATAACCAAAATCAGAGAAATCAAAAGATCACGGTGCATTTGGCAAAAAAAAGGTTGAAGAAGATTTTACTTCTCAGGCAGTATCTGACAATAATTTTTTTATGAATAAAAATAAATTTTTCTGTTAACTTTAATAAATAAAAAAGTTATTAAAAGTATCTAAAAAAGTAAAAAAAAATCACATAACAAAACTATTAATCGGCAAATCTATAAAAAGTCTTTGCAAAAACATATTCCTTAGACCAAAATAAGTCGATTTAAGTAAAATTACCTTAGTACAAAGTTGCTTCGTTTGGGCTCCAGAGGGCCTTGAAGTTACAATTTTTAAATCGTTTTTCCCATATAAATTTAAAACGGCATATGCGATTTTGCTAAAATTTGGTATATTGGTAGAGTTTTATGTGGCAAAAAAATGGTATTAAAATTTTGTCCGATAATAATACATAGGCGTAGAACTTGATTTTTTAAATAATTGCACCTTTAAAAATTCTACGCCAATGGAAGAAAAGGAGTTTGAGTATGAAATTTATATTGCGCAACTCGTTTACTTTAAAAAAGGTACTCTTGATAAGACTAGATTACTCTCATGGTTTTGACGAAATTTGCATTTTAGTAATTTTAGAACATAAATAACACCGGCACACAAAAAAAAAGTGCTCTGTTCTTTTGACCGGGTCCATCTATCTCTATGTATTTTGACCCGCTGAATCCGAATCTGAGGTCAGTTTGGCCAATACACCTCCAAAATTTCGAGAAAACTTAAAAAAACCGAAAAAAATGACGAAAATCGACAATTTTGGTGATAGAAAAAATTTTAAGGACTTAACCAAGCATGATTTTTATGTATTTCGATCCGCTGAATATGAATCTAAAGTTTACTTAGACCATAAGCCCTTTAATACATAAGTAAATTCCAAAAAACCCTCAAAAATTGCTGAAAATTGCGATTTTTATGAAGAAAAATTTTTTTTTCGAAATCTTTCATGATTCTCATATATTTCGATCCGCTGAATACGAATCTCGAGCATATTTAGCCCATACATACGTAAACAGCAAAAAATCTCCAAAAATTTCAAAAAATTTGAGTTTTTATGATATTATTATTTGCCGTGGCGCTCCGGGGCGACTTAAAGATGATCGATGGTGCCGTTTGGCTTACAGGTGAGGAAAACCTGGAAAACCTCACCCACCATCATCGAGACGGTAATGTATGACGAATTTTTTTAATCTGCAATCATATCAACAGAAATTGAATTTCTATTAATACGACACACATCAAATCCTATACCGAACCATGCAATTTAATTAAAAATCCACATGATCTGGTCTGGGATTCGAAGCCCAGCAGTCTCTGACACATAAACTTGCTTATAAATGAATATAAGCGCGTTAGACCGCTACACGCTACCGTACCGTACTATGTATTAGGACTTCCCATATTAAATAAAGATTCAATTTCTATAAATAAGGTGGGAGATACAAGGTTTGTTTTGGTTCTTTCGGAAACTAGTTCAGAATCACTGAATTACACTTGATCAGCTAAGAGGTTGTAATAACCTCGCGACGTGTGCTTGAAAAATTAAATGTCCCACTGTATTTGAGAACTGGAATCGACGGTTCTGTTTGAACCAAAACAAACCCATAATATGGCTAACTGTAAGGTGGTTTTATTTTTCTACTAGCTATGCCCGTGGCTTTGCTCGCATATTGTCATGTTATTAATATAAAAAATACATTACTTCCTTTTTTTTATTAATTTTGATTAGTTTTATTGATTTTCATTAATTTTTTTTAATTTTTTTATATTTATTTTTTTTTTTTAATTTTTTTATATTTATTTATTTTTTTAATTTTTATTCATGTGTATTCATTTTTTTTTTTTTTTTTTAATTTTTATTCATTTGTATCCATTTTTTTTTTTTTTTAATTTTTATTCATTTTCATTCATTTTTATTAATTAATTTTTATAAATTTTTATTAATTTTTATTAATTTTTAATAAATTTTATTAATTTTTAATAAATTTTATTAATTTTTAATAATTTTTGTTAATTTTTAATAAATTTTATTAATTTTTGTTAATTTTTAATAATTTTTAAATTTTTTTATTGATTTCTATTAATTTTTAATAATTTTTATTAATTCCAATTTTCATGTTTCTAACTTAATAGAGAATAAAAAAAAATCGATAGTCCCTTACAAACTTTCACCCCCCGTTTTCCCCCCTTAAAATGTAAAAAATCCAAAAACCCTGAAACACGTCATTATTTATTTATGCTCAGTAGCTGTAATATAAATTTTCATGTTTCTAACTTTAAAGAACAAAAAGTTTCATAAAAAGCTCCCTCCCCCCATTTCCCCCCTTTAAAGTTAAAATTTTCAAAAATCCTTTCTTAGCGAATGCTTACGTTATAAAATAAACCTATGTTCCAAATTTCAGCTTTCTAGGCTCAGTAGTTTTGGCTGTACGCTGATAGGTCAGTCAGTCAGTCAGAACAAACAATTTTATACTTAAGTTGGAACCATATGGAAAACATTTTTATTATTGATTTTAGGAAAAAAGTTATTCTTGATAAAAAGTCCTGCATGACCCAAAACTTAAAATACAGTCATCAGATATCAAATTTTTCAAGTCGTATACGAGGTTTGTCAAAAAATATGAATTTTGCTCAAGAGTAAAGTACGTTTATTTTTTTACAAAATCCAAAATTTTCATTAAGAAATTTGCTAAATTCTTCACAAACATCAACAAAAGGAAAGCGTATCATGTTTATAGTAGCTAACGTAATTTATAACGTTTTCAGATATTTACTGTTCTGTTTTTTCAGATAGATCAGTGTAATTGCATATTTGAATGTAATATTCAATTCTAACCAACTTTTCTTAATGAAAATTTTCGATTTTGTCAAAAATAAACGTACTTTACTCTTGAGCAAAATTCATATTTTTTGACAAACCTCGTATACGGCTTACAAAATTTGATATGTGATGACTGTATTTTAGGTTTTGGGTCATGCAGGACTTTTTATCAAGAATAACTTTTTTTCCTAAAATCAATAATAAAAATGTTTTCCATATGGTTCCAACTTAAGTACAATAGATATACAAAGGGTGGACCATAACTAAAGGGAAATTAATATTCATAAATTTTTTGGATAAACATATTAGGATTGGACCAAATATTCCTTAATAAAAAGAAAAAGATACAGAATTTCAAAGTTGAAACATTTTTTTTTTGTTTTTAGTGAAAACTGTTACCAAATGTGGTAGGCAAAGAATATGATTTTATTTATTTTTCATTTTGTTATTGGGTATAATTGAGCCATAATATGTGCTTAGAAAATAACATATTTTCATATGAATATATAGGGTATCCTGATTATTTTTTACCTCTGTCACTTATACACAATATTAGGCTATTTTAAGTGACTTGACTTGAAGAGTTGAGAACCATTACATCTTATTTTGGATCAGCTAAATGATTAGAGAAAACAAAATTGGACGACTTTACAAATATCTTTGCATTATAAATTCAATCAATCAATATATGTTTATTGTCAAAGCTACAAGAACTTATAGACAAACACTTATAAATATAATTATTATGTAGTACTAACAATTACATGCATACAAATTTAAAAATTGTATAAAAACGTTAAATATAAAATTAGAGGTTAATTACAAATACAAATACGTAACACAACATCGATAAAATTATATAAATACAAAAACATGTACGTTCAAACAGTCACAACGATTTAAGAGTCATTGTAAAATTCCGTCAAAGCATAATATGCTTTTGTCATCAACATATCTCTAAGCAGTATTTTAAATGTTGTGACCGTTTCCGTCGATTTAATATCATTTGGCAACTTATTGTACATTTTAATCCCATTATAAATGAAAGAGTCCCTTACCAGTTCAGATTTGGGTATGGGCAACCGCAGGTTGTCAACTTGTCGCGTTAGTATTGGCATAGTTTGATTTATTTTTATGTATAATACAAGTGGTTTCAAGAATGATGTTAAAATTTCATGTCTAATAAAATGTGGCTGACATGACTCAAGCTTGTTCATTCCACATAAAAATCGTATTGCTCTCTTTTGCAGACAAAAAACAGTATTGAATAATTCGCGGCTGCAACCTCCCCAAAATGCAATTCCATATCTCAAATGGGACTCAACTAGGGCGTAATACACACTTTTTGCTGCCTTAAAACCTAGTTCTTTTGCCACAGTTCTGACTGCAAAACATCCAGAAGAAAGTTTTCTGTTTAGCAATTCTATATGGTTTCTAAATTTCAAATTATTATCTAAATTAATTCCCAGAAATTTTATTGTGTCAGTACATTCAATAATATGACTTCCCAACTGAATATTTGATAGGGAACATTTAAGGGTTAGCATTTTAGTTTTTCCCATATTAAGACGCAAATAGTTGGCATCGCACCATGCTTTGATTTTCTTAATGTCACAGGATATGGTGTTGTATAGGACTGAAGTGTCATTGCTGTGCCATAAAATCGTAGTATCATCTGCAAATAGAGTGAAAGTACCTACAATTTCAAGTCATTCACATAAAGGAGAAATAAAATGGGACCTAACACAGAACCCTGAGGGACACCCCTATCTAAAACTTGAGAATCCTGAGACGCTCTTACCATTTGCTTACATTCTGAAAGATAAGATTTTACCCAACTCAGCGCTCCGTTTTTGATCCCGTAAACTCGAAGTTTATCCAACAGTACTGTATGATTGACGCAATCGAACGCCTTAGTTAAATCACAGAATATCGCCGCTACAGAATCATCAACATTAATTCTAGAATAAGCAAGAAAATATCGCATCAGAAGTACTTTTGTTCCTTTGAAAACCAAACTGTTGTGTTTCCAGCAATTTGTGAGTTTCTAGATAATGAATCAAACGTTTTTTTACAACTTTTTCAATAATTTTGGTCACTGTAGGAATAAGAGATATAGGCCTGAAGTTCGAAGGATCGTAGTTACTGCCGCCTTTATGTATGGGAACAATAACACTGGTCATTCATTAAAAATATTCACAGTAGAGACAATAATTTATCATCAAAGAACATGTTCCAAAAAATAATTAATTCCAATGTACTCCTAGCTTAAAAACACACTTCTGCACAAAGTAAAATTAATTATTTTTAAATAAAAACATTTTTTAACCAAATATCCTAAAACAGTGATAAATACTGATAATTTTATTTCAACACCCTCCAAACTTTATTTCAGAAACTGTATTAAGATTACTGACTTTGCGGTACTAATACTAAAAATGAGATAAAAAAAAATAAAATGTAGCCTTACAATTGATTATCTCGTCCATCTTCTTTCTGAAGATTTTCTTGCTTTTCTTCGATTTTAACTGCAGCATCCGTTTTTCCGGTTTTGCTCTCAGATATTTGATCAGAAACGACCTTCAGTGCTCTTTCGGTGTGAGACACGATTCTCTGGATAGCTTGCAATTCCTCTTCTTTAGGATATATTTCAGCATGGCGGGCCATCACGTGCTTATCGTCGCTAGAGTCGGTTCTACGCTGCATGCCTCCTTGGAAGAACTTCAATAAAACAAAAAAAAAAGAATGATATAAATGGTTCCAATTGGAAAAAATAATTTGACAAGTTTTTTAAATAGTCCTGAAAATATGCAAAGCTGTCATTAAGTCGATTCAGATTTCCTTTGTGGCTCAATTCTTAGGTCTTGACCACAGACCTTTTATATATTGTTTATAGACAGTACACTCAATGTATAATTTTCGTAGCTGATTTCAGCGCCCTCACAGTGGTGGGGGTTTAAACTAAACGATGGCGGCAATTTTTGAATGTCTGAATAATTTTTTGGAAGCACGCTTTGAACGTGGTTCCATTAAAGTTGAGATTTGATTACAATAAGCAAACAAATCGTAACTATAATGGTTTAATCATATTTTGGTGCTACATTTTTTTATGAAATGAAACCATTTATTATATTTATAACGATTTATTTATAAAATGTAAATTTCAGGTATTATTTTAACTAAAACTAAAAATAGCTAAAAATAAGGTAATAAGGTAAATAATAGGTACATGCAAAATATTAAGATAAAATAAAAAGGATTCAAGTGTTTTATTATAGGTATCTTGTGTTAGCAAGAAGACATATTTTACCATTAAAATAATGTAACAACCTGGAACACTTACACTTTACAATCATGACTGAAAGTTTATCCATTATCTCAAATGTAATGTGGTCACATTAATCCTTCCTCCATGTGGTATGTGGTCACTGACCAATGTAAGCCGAAACTAATCGCGACACTGCCTATTAAATAAACTTTATGCTGTGGTATTAATTTTGTGCTTTATTTCCATTTCACTATTGACTTTCTGTTTTATTTCCATTTTATTATTTAACAATCAGTTCAAAAACAAACAAATAACTCACAAAATTCATAAAAATAATAAAGAAATAAGAAATATTTGTGGTTATGTAGGTATCAAGTACACAAAGTAGGCAGTGTTGTCACGGTCAAATGGTGATAATTCTCATCACTTACTCCAAACGCCTGAAGTCACCAATAAATGCAATAGTGACGATGAAAATATTTTAAAACATGACTTTTCAGCAATAGTAGATACTACTAAATGAAAAACGGCAAAAATGCTATAATCTTGCATTAATAAATTCTAAATCGATTCATAAAAGTTCATAAGTTAATTAGGAATACCCAAAAATCGGGTAAAATTATTGCTATTGGCAACGCTGCACAAGCGTGTCCTATAAACGGTGACGGTGGCGACCTCACGACGGCGGTGGTATGAAACTTAACACGCATTGACCTTGACGGTAAGAGTGGATACACTGTGGTCTTGACGGTTGCTTTCAAGGGCGAAAACTTTTACCAACTCTGCTGCGTCGGAAAGGGCCCAAAATGGATCCTAAAATTGGTTTCCCGCGAATATCTTCCACAATATGCAAATTAGAGAATTTTTGTTTAGATAAAAAAGAAAGATCTTCTCATTATCTACAAAAATGACCCCTATCATTTTTGTCGGGAATTCGACAGGTTTCGAGATAACCGCAATCAAAAATCCCCTCGTTCAGCCCCTGCTTTATCTCTAACTTGTAAACGGGTGGACAAATTGTTTCAGAACTCAGTCAAAAATTGATATTTTTCGATGATTCAAAGTTCATTACAATGGGAAAACCCATAGGTATCGATCCATGTGCCTTGAAGCCCGTTATTTCCTGTCAAGAACATTGAAAAAGGGGCCAAAGTTGCGTTTTCCCCACTATTTTGGACCACTTTATAGTAATTCATTCATTATTTTTTTTCTTCTAATATTTTTTATTCCATTTTTGTTTTAAATGGGATCTTGAGATGTCTCGAATGATCTCAGAAATTTTTTTCCAGTATCTTCCTGGCGTTTTAAAACAAAATTGATTTGTTTTTTGCATTTTTCATACGTTTTAGGAGTTCTAGAAATCTCTGAAACAAGCAGTAATTAAAAACTCATATTTCATTATATTGTTATTCAATGCACACCATTTTAAAAAAATACATTCGTAAAGTAGACACTCTAAGTTTTAAAATGGTGTGCATTGAATAACAATATAATGAAATATGAATTTTAAATTACTGCTTGTTTCAGAGATTTCTAGAACTCCGAAAACGTATGAAAAATGCAAATAAACAAATCAATTTTGTTTTAAAACGCCAGGAAGATACTGGAAAGAAAATTCTGAGATCATTCCAGACATCTCAAGATCCCATTTAAAACAAAAATGGGATAAAAAATAAAAGAAAAAAATATGAATGAATTACTATAAAGTGATCCAAAATAGTGGGAAAACGCAACTTTAACCCCTTTTTCAATGTTCTTGACAGGAAATAACGGGCTTCAAGGGATATGGATCGATACCTATGGGTTTTCCCATTGTAATGAACTTTGAATCATCGAAAAATATCAATTTTTGACCGAGTTCTGAAACAATTTGTCCACCCGTTTACAAGCTAATCAGCACTGCTATAGAGATAAAGCAGGGGCTGAATAAGGGACTTTTGATTGCGGTTATTTCGAAACCTGTCAAATTCCCGACAAAAATGATAGGGACCATTTTTGTAGATAATGAGAAGATCTTTCTTTTTTATCTAAACAAAAATTCTCTAATTTGCATATTGTGGAAGATATTGGCGGGAAACCAGTTTTATGGTCCATTTTGGGCCCTTTCCGACGCAGCAGAGTTGGTAAAAGTTTTCGACCTTGGAAGCGACCGCTGAGACCTAAGAGTTGAGCCACAACGGAAATCTGGACCGACTTAATGACAGGTTGGTTCCTTCAGTTACTGAACTAAAAGCCATTTTCAACATTTTTTCAGAATTAGCCATAATATATAATTGTGACTAAAGAACTATTAAAATATAGGAAATTTTCATATACATGTTGAAAATCCCTTTGGGATAAGAAGTGACTTCACCTTACATAAACTTGTTGGTTTAAATTTACCAGCACTGTTAATATTTCTTGGAATGAACCTAATATTTTCTTTTAGTATTTGAATTTCATCAAATTTATTACTTACTGGTGGTGGACCTCCTGGGAACGGCCTTCCTCTTTGGTATCCCATATTACCATGTCCAACCATTGCCATGTATTCTTCTTCGTATCGCCTATGGTCATCCCAGTACATATTCTCATTAGCCTCCGGGTAGTGACGACGTGCCCAAAACTCTTCTCTCATTGCCTAAAATGTCAATAATATATGTTAAGAATTAGAGAACAAACTATAGAAACTTACTGGAACAAGGCTACAAAACATTTCAATAAAGGTGCACTATTGAGATATTTCAATGTTTTAGAAATATATTTAATTATTTCCATCAAAAATGAAATATTATTTACGTATTTTTTTAATACTTACTAAACTAGTGGTAACAGTTGATTATTTTAAGATCAAATTATTTATTAATCAACCTCAACCAAGTTGTAAGTATTCAAAAATGACAACGATATATTATAATAGTTGTCCTGATAAAAATACAAGAAAAAATACATTTCCAAACAATTGGAATATCATATAGTATCATTTATATTCAGGTTTATTGTTGTTTTGTACTGTTAAGTTTTCCTTAAGGTACCATTTCGGTAGGCGCGACAGACGACCGCCGACGCGACCTAGAAGTGTCGCTTCACATCTAAAATACATACAATTATATGAAACACATTTCGCACGGCGCGACACGAGAAGTGTCGTCAAGACGACACTTCTGAATCTGCCTCGGGGCAAAGGTTTGCTGCATGTCGCACTCGGGGTCACTGTCCTCGAGCATCGGTTCATTTTGAGGGTGATTAGGACGGAAATTTCTTTCGATCTAGGCAGCGTTGCCAGATTTTGGAACAGTATGGGTAAAAAAAAAACCGTAGGTTTTAATACAGGGGGAAATAATTATACTTTGCTGTGTAGTAAATAAAAAAACAAGTATATAAGAAACGAAAAATAAACTTTTTTCTACCCAAATTAGAAAGTAAACAAAGAATAAAAACAAAAGAAAATTTACTAGAGAAAATATTCTTTAACCATTTGCTGAAGAATGAGGCAAATTTAATAAATTAAGAACAAAATTTGCTAGAGACAAAAACAGTAGATCTACGTGAAAACAGTAGGTCTGGCAACGATTGTTATCCCTGTAAACGTCGCGCGACACTTCTCAAGCTTGCGAAATGTACCAAGCGTAACATTTATGCATCTGTCGTCCTACTCGACCTTGGGGTCGCTTCAGTGGTCGCTTGTCTCTTGACGCGCCTACCCAAATGGTACCTTTAATAGATTTTGTTTTTCAAAATTGTATGAATATGCAAAACCAAAAATTTTTCAACTCTAAAAAATGTTGGGTGAATTTATTCAATATTATCTACGACAGTCTAAAATATTGTTATACGACTGAAACATCTAACAAAAGGAACAACTGTCGAATTTATAAATTAATTGGGAAATTTTAATTGTCTAAACAATATTCTTATTAAAAAATATAATATTGAAGATTTTCAAACTATTTTTACGTATAAGTTTACTTACGGCTCTTCTCATCTTTTCTTCTTGAATTTTTCTTTGCCTAAGAGATGGTTTAACATCAACAACAAGATCAGGGTTTACTTTCTTTTTGTATTGCAGCCTGTGTCTTCTGCCTTTCATGTGCATTTCTTTTGCATTAGGATCATTGAATCTACACTCGCATAGTTTGCAATTGAAACTGATTACCTAAAATTATGATTATACAAATACTGAAGCATTCAAAAATTGAATAAAATTAAAACATTACAGCTCATAAATTTGTTCTTACTTTTCCATCATCGCTCTTAATTTCTTCAATATAATCTTGCCCGACAGGCTGTATATCCGGTTCCGGAATTTCTTCCTCTTCTTCTTTGATGGTCTCGCCATTCCCAGAAGATACTCCCAGTCCTCCAGATTGAACGAAATTAATTTTAGGTGTCGACGAAACGGATTTCTTTGATCCGCCGATAACTTCCGGTTCTTGAGGAGGGATAGGCTTGCCCAATTTGGTGTGTAAAAGAACGACTTTCTGATGTTTGGCGCCGCGAATATGGGCGGCATAAGCGTCATTTCCTAAAGGAAAAATACAGAAATGACGGATGTTTGCTAATAATAAAAATGTATTGATTCAATATTATAGAATAAATTATTTTATTGATAAAGTTATCAGTTTTTTCAATTATTGAATAATAAAAATATGTTACAAAAATAAAGTCTGATAACATTGTACCTAACAATTAGCCATGACTTATTAATTGAAGATTGATTGTGGCCGTAAGATATTTTTTATATAATAAACTTTTGTTATCGTCCGATTTACAATGTGTTCCAATATAATGGGCCCGTTCACTTTCATTTTTGAATGTGAATTAATTATATATTTATAAAGATATTAAACTCTTTTGTCTGGTGGTACTTTTCCCGTTAAGATATTTTTGCTAGAAGTAAGGGAATTCCCATAAAATTCTTTCAGTGACTCATTGCGTCAGAAAATCCCTAATTCCGTTCACGTCTCGCATCGGTTATGCTTAAAGACGGCGGGGTTGTCGGAAGTATCCCTAATATAGCATTTCTGCATTTATATATGTAATTTAAATAGTAAAATTCCATTATTTTTCTAAACATCATGAACTTTTATTTTCAGATTTAAAGCTGGAGCTTATTTTTTACTTTTTAATTAAAACAATTATTATTACTCAGGCTGAAAATTAACCAGACCATAATCAATAAGTAGAAATTTGATTTGCAATATTTATCTGGTAAACGTGGCAACGTTGCATTTATTTCTAGAAGTGTGTGTAGACAACACTATTTAGAAGTACTTACAACGTTGTCACGTTTACCAGATACATTTTCTCAAATAAAATTTTGATCTGGTAATATTCAGCTTGAGTAATACTAATTGTTTTTATTAAAATTTAAAAAAGGTAGGGCTTCCAGCTTTATCTGAAAATATAAACACAATATTTTTAAAAAATAATATATTTTTATCATGTAAATTTCTTTAATAAATGCAGAAGAGGAACAATGATACATCCGACAACCGCGCCCTTTTAACTATTAACCGATACGAGACCTGAAGGGAATTAGGGGTTTTCTGACGCAATGAGTCACTGAAAGAATTTTATGGGAATTCCCCTACTTCTAGCAAAAATATCTTAACGGGAAAAGTACCACCAGACAAAAGAGTTTAATATCTTTATAAATATATAAATAATTCACATTCAAAAATAAAAGTGAACGGGCCCATTGGTGGTATTATTGCTACTGCTGCTACTTGTAATTCAATATACTAACCTGTACAAGTGACATCGCATAATTGACATCTAAGAGAGTTTCCGGCTCTATTTTGATTTGTAACAGCTACAGAAGCAGCCATTTTAGTTGCAGCTTCACGTTTCTTGTGTTTTTGTCCTTCTAAATGCTCTTTGTAAGTTTGGGGTCCGGCGCAACTTGAAAATAAAATTAAATCTCAAAAAAACAATTTGAAGGACAAATAACAAACAATTTAAAATTTTAAAATGGTCAAAACTTCATCTTTTTGTTTCATAATTGTGTGTATTCGAAATATCCTTGTTCAATTAAATGTAAATATAAAAATTTTAAAGTTACTGAATTTCTAGTTTTCTGCTGTTAAAAAATACTTTTCGAAAAATTCAAGGTTTCTCTACCCTAAATTTTGTTATTATTGGCATTTCCTAAAAATTTCACCAAAATCGGATCACAAATAAGGCTCAGAATTATAAATTTTTAAGGTGTTCTGTTTGCTCTTAAAGTAATGCCTTATTTTGTTAAATTTTTGACTTACGAGGTTTAAAAATTGGACAGACTTTATTAGAAAATGGATAAATTTCTAAATATTTATTATTATTAAATGTCCAAACTGACCAAATGTCATACAATAGTCCTTTAATGTAAGAACTATATAGTCCAATTAAATAGACCTTTGAATCAAAATTTTGGAGGAAATACAGGAATTTTTTATATAAGTCACTTAAGAGTATTTAAAAACGATATGTAAAAAAATTTTGTTTTTCAGGCACCGGCAAATGTCAAAAAACAAGAAAATAAAGTGTTTTTTTAAGGTTATTTAAAAACGGTAGGTGCTATCAAAAAAAGTTTTTAATAAAAATTGTAAAGCATAAAGTTTTACATAAAAATGATATTTGACATTTTTTGATATTATTAAATCTGACAGAGTTAGGGTGGTTAGAAATTAAGAGGAAATATATATGACTTGAAAAAATCATAGCGAGCTAAAAATTCAATGATTTTGTAGTTTATTTTCATTATATACTCAGAAAACTATAAATTTCTTTTAAGAAATTTTTTTTTGTTTTCTTTTAAGTTATAACAATTTTAATTTAGAAATTTTCAATATATTATACGAATTTATATGGTAAAATAAATTTTGAAGTAAACTTATTAGCTTGATTGACATGAAAAATATGAGGAGTGAACTAATAACAACGACATCCAGACAGTTTGGTCCCCACTTGAAGTGCCATTAAATAAATAAAAATAAAAACAAAAAAGAACTAAATAAAAATATTAAAAAAAATAAAAATAAAGATAATAAATAATTAATCAATAAAAATGGGCAAATTAAAAAATATATAAAAATAAGTAAATAAAAATAAATATATAAATAAAATTAAACAAAAATAAATAAAAAGATAAAAATAAAAGAAAATAAAGAAAAATAAATACAAATAAATAAAAATAAATAGTGAAATGCGACAACCGGGGGTTAATAATTAATTTAAATAATTCTTATATATTACATATTATATTCAAATTTTATTTCGAATTCAAACAGCATTCCAGCGTGTCCCGCCTCGTAGACGCCGTTTTATTACTTCTGGGAAAAACAGTCTTTGTGTCGTTCCTCACGAACGCTAGCTAAAAAACCATATGTCACCGATAGGGTGATATTCAGGAATTAATACAGGGCTTTATAGTCTTTATACACCAAACCAACAGTCGGTCTCTGTCTTATACATTTGCATATATGGGAAATTTAAGTATAAATACCCGGGTTTTTGAGGGCTGGGGGATTAGTTTTTTCTTCTTCACCGAGTCGAGTTAGCAAAATACGCAAACATCCAGGTTACCGCACGGTGACTCCTTTTTCTTTATATTCTTCAAATATAATTAAAGAGAGATATCGCTACCCTTACGGTGGCCGCGTTTTTGTTATATTTTGACAACGGAACTAAAAGATATCGACGGAGTAAAGAAATTAGTTTCTATAAACGACGGCTTCTGCATAGATATCCAGTTGTCCTTAGGATGACCACCATTTTCTTATATTCTATATATAAGTAAAAGGAGATATATAGTCAGATTGACCAAGCAGATACACGTTGAGTAGAAACAGATTTCACTCCTAGAACTGTTTTGTAAAGTTGTATCTACCGAGCGACTAAGATATCGGCGTAACTGATACTAGTGATACTACGCTAGTCTAGTTAAACGCCAGATATTTTATATCTCCGATTCAACATTATAAAATGTTACTAAATGATTAAAGGTACTACTCCAGGCGACGTTCGTAGTGGATTTCGTCACCCTTCTGGCTGACCCGACGAACTTACGCCCGGTAGACCTTTTGTCAGCGGTATACTTTTCTTTCTGTAAGGTTTCTTTTACGTAGAATTAAAACGATAATCGCACTATTAAAGTAATCAAACTAGTAATTAATATTCAGATATTCCGGGGGAGAATTTAGACAAACATTAATAGGTTACAGGTATCACTTTATTACTTTTATATTCATTAGCGGGAAAATTCGCGTCTGTGTGTTATTGTCATATTTTTGGTATTTTCATTGGTAAACGTTATTGTGGGAAAAATTATAGGGTTTTTATATTGTGCTAAATTATGTTATTTAGAGAATCGATCGTGATGTTGTCATAAATATTAATTGTTCTAAAGTTGGTCAATGCTCTCAAGCAATAAATTAAGTCATTTAGATTTATGGCCAAAGGGCCGAATTGTAAAGTTTCGGTTGTCTGTAAGCAGTACCCGCCCCTTTCAGTAAAGATAAAAAGCACTTTCGGGTTTACTTTTAAATGGCAAACAGATGTAGATTAGTAGGGTAAACGCCTTGATTTGTTATTTTACAGTTAGATTGGGGTTAAAAAATATGTTTTCTGTCGTTCTTTGTAAAACAAAATTGGGTAGACAAATGTGTCATTTTAGCCGTACGGAATTTTAGTTTTGTGTATCGAATTTTCGGGAAAAAGGAGATATGTACAGCGGCGGGTAGAATCATGAATATTGAGGAGGGTCGTATTTATTTGTACATATCCACATATCTTTAGTGGGACATTACGCGGAAGTAGTCGGTATGTTTGTTATTTATTTAGAATAAATTGCGTTTGTGGACTAGTTAACGTATCCTCGGAACTGTGATTAATAACACTGATTTGTCAATCGACAGAGCAAAAGAGCATCGCGCCGAAAAAGAAGCCTTAGGCCACCATAGACCGCCAGGGACCAAAAGTGGGCCTGACGGACATCCCCCTTTATATCAGGTGTTCTCCGATCGACCGTTTAGTGCTGTCCATACAGGACTGAGTATGTCAGTAAATTACGGCGTTGGAATATTAGAGAAAGGCGTGACGCACGGTGAGGTAAATCTACACTCCGGTTTTTACACATATTAGAAATATTAAATTTAACCGACTTCAAAAAGGAAGAGGTTCTCAATTCGACGCAATATTTTATATCTCACAACACTCCTCGTGCTACCGTTGTACTCTTATTAGACAATGCGTAATCCAGTAGTTCCGTGGAAACGTGTGATTGTATATTAGGAGACAAACAAACATACCAAAGTACTTCCGACTTTTATTTTACCCTTTTATGGGAACTAAAAGCTCTGAGGTTAGAAATGACACATTAGAAAGCCTACATAAACAGAATGTTAAGCCTAAAAATGGCACATAATCTAAATGTTCGGCTGTACAAAAGAATAGATGTTAAATAAACAGTATTCAAAATTAATCTCGGTGTTTCCTTTGTTCTTCCTCCATTACAGCTACATTGAACTCTAAACGAAATTCTGGGGGGTTTTAACATCACTTCGTGGGGATCTACTAGACGAAATTTAGGCCAAGGTTATAAGTATTTGCAAAACTAGGTCAGGGTCCGGTTTGTCAAGTTACAATAAAAATATATAAAAATAATTATAATTAAAAAAATTAATAAATAAAAATAAATAAAAAAATAAACAAACATTTAAGTAAATAAAAATAATAACAAATAGTAAAAAAATTAAATAAAATTAGGTAAAATATTAAAAATAAAAATAAATAAAATTAAATAAATAAAAATACATAAAAATAATTAAAAAAAATTAAAAATAAATAAAAATAATTATAATTAAAAAAATAAATAAAATAAAATAAAATAAAACAAAAATAAATAAAAAAAAGGTGTAAAAGAAAATAAATAAAAATATATTATAGTTAAAAAAATAAAATAAAAATAGGTAATTTATTAAAAAGAGAAATTTTATTTATTTTTAATTTTTAATATTTTACCTAATTTTATTTAATTTTTTTAACTATTTGCTATTATTTTTATTTACTTAAATGTTTTATTTTTTTTATTTATTTTTAATTTTTAATATTTTACCTAATTTTATTTAATTTTTTTAACTATTTGCTATTATTTTTATTTACTTAAATGTTTTATTTTTTTTTATTTATTTTTTATTTTTAATATTTTACCTAATTTTATTTAATTTTTTTAACTATTTGCTATTATTTTTATTTACTTAAATAATGTTTTATTTTTTTTTATTTATTTTTATTTATTTTCTTTTACTTTTATCTTTTTATTTTTGTTTAATTTTATTTATATATTTATTTATTTTTATTTACTTATTTTTATATATTTTTAATTTGCCTATTTTTATTGATTAATTTTTTATTATCTTTATTTTTATTTTTTTTAATATTTTTATTTAGTCCTTTTTTATTTGTTTTTATTTTTATTTATTTAATGGCACTTCAAGTGGGGACCAAACTATCGGGATGTCGTTGTTATTAGTTCACTACTCATATTTTTCATGTCTGTCAAGCTAAGTTTACTTCAAAATTTATTTTACCATATAAATTCGTAAAATATATTGAAAATTTCTAAATTAAAATTGTTATAACTTAAAAGAAAACAAAAAAAATAATTATATAATAAAATAAATATAAAGAAACTACAAAATCATTGAATTTTTAGCTCGCTATGATTTTTTCAAGTAATATATATCTCCTCTTAATTTCTTACCACTCTAACTCTGTCAGTTTTAATAATATCAAAAAATGTCAAATATCATTTATCATTTTTATGTAAAACTTTATGCTTTACAATTTTTATTAAAAACTTTTTTTGATAGCACCTACCGTTTTTAAATAACCTTAAAAAACACTTTTTCCCAAACCTACATCGAAGCGGCGACCCAGCGAGTCGAGCGTTTCCCTTCCACTTCAATTAGCGAGAGAGAGGGTATCTCTTGCCACCGCCGATATATAAAAGGAGAAGCAATCGTTTAAACTGGCAGTCAGTGTTGCCAGACGTAGCGGAATTCCGCTATTTGTAGCGGAATTTCATCAAGGTAGCGACGGTAGCTCAAAATACCTTAAAACGTAGCGGAATTTGAAATGAAATCTTTTACAGTACAAAAAATCATAAATCTTGTAGTAATTGTATAAACATTATTTGTACCGTTTATTATAAAGACGAGTTCAGTCAAATAACATAAAAAAATAGATCAATTTTATGGTCGCAATATCGTGCGCCTTTTTTAAAATCAACATTAACAGATAGTTTTTATGGTAACGACATCTTGTGCCTTTTTTTTAATATCGTTAAGATACAATCACGGAACATATATTAGCTTTGTTCGCGAAACCTGTCGGCGACAGATGAGCATGCGCATTTCGATTTTAAGCGTTCGTAAATCGAACGCCTAAAATCGAAATAAAAATGTTGATCTGTCGTGGACATGTCGCCGGCAGTGTTAACTATACTCTTTGCCGGCAGGCTCCGCAAACAAAGCTAATATTTCTTCCGTGTTAAGATTTTACTTCTTTCTTAATTTTCCATCGTTTCGTCAATTCACTTGTCACAAAAATGTTAAATTAAACCAATAAACTCAAACCCCCTTTAGTTTTGTGAACATAAAACAAGTAAAATGTGACATATGATGTATGGCATATGACATATGACAAGAGACAGTAACGCGTAGCGGAATTTTTCAATTTTTGTAGCGGATTTTTTCATTGTCACCCTGACAACACTGCTGGCAGTTCCATTCGGCGAGCTGAGCTGAAAAGAACTCACTACCTCCCCGAGTAGTACGTGTTGAGTACCACTTGTTTCCTGACCCCTCCTGGCAAACGTGTTCGAGTTTGTCATCTGGTAAACGCGTTGAGATTACCGATTCCTGATAGACGTGTTGAGTCTATTCTCCTGATAGACGCGTTGAGTCTATTTCCCAGTCACAGACGCGTTGAGTCTGCTTCCACGTAGAAGACGCGTTGAGTCTTCGACGTGAAGTCCATACTTGAATAATATTTTACTTTCAGATAACCCGTCGTTTCCCAGCAGAGGCACTTTATAGCGAAGCATCTCACCGAGAGCCCAACCGTTCGACGCTCGACGAAAGGCCGTGGCTATTGGACCGAAGACCGTGAAGAAAATTAAATTATTTTAAATACATTTTATTTTGTTATTTTAAAGAGAGAATAAATACTTTTATTTTGAACCCTGTCTTCTGAATTACCCGGACCGCATTACATATTTAATTGGACTATATATTCCAACTTTTCAAAGTTTTGAATCAATTGCTTATTTATTTATCACAAATTATAAAAATACAGTAATTAACATAAAAATATACGTAAACAAAAATATTTTACCTGATTTTGCACACATCACAATAATGTAACTGCTGCGGCTTCGGTGGCGCCTTAGCTCTCACGTTCTTAGCTCCAATACCTGCCTTCTTGTAGTTTTGCCAGCCTCCCGTCTTCTGTTGGTTGTTCGTATTTTGCTGGGCGACGTACATTGTGGCAGCCGAGTAGAGCGCTGCATCGTATCCTGAATATGTTGTTGTAGAATTAGCCTCTATGGCAAGATTAACAATGTTGAGGGATGGAGAGTGGTAGAGGTAAAGAAAAGATGTTTTTTTGACCTTATATACAAAATCTACTGAAGTAATGGACATAAGGTGGATGTGAAACTGTCATTGAAGGTAATAATAGTTTAGTTTACATACTCACAGTTTATAGGATGATGATACCAAAATATATTAGCTAAAATTATAGTTTGACATTTATTTATTTAGCAATGGGCGTGTTTAGGTTTAACTAATGAAGTTATAGAATTAAAAAATGATTATCGGTGGTACCATAACATGAATATGTTTATCTAGAGAATTAAATTATTCATATTAAAACTAACAACACAAGAAAGTAGTAATAAGTCAATAATTTTTTACCAAAAGACATTTTTGTAAATAATCTAGTCAAAATTAGAAAACAAATTGTATGTAACACATTACGAACAGAGCAGTTCCATATATTTTAACAGTTACAATTTGTTATATATGAAAATTTTCTTTTGCTTTTTATATAGAATAATTCATATATTATTTAAACAGATTCACATATTTCTATCAAAAACAAAAAGGATATAATACCACTAATATTAATAGAAGTTGAATGTTAGTTTTAAGGGAGCCGTTTGGGGTATACAAAACTTACGCTGTTTAGCTTGTGTAGTAGGTTGAGCAGCAATCGTAGTTTGGGCGGCTGGTTGGGCATATGTAGCTTGATATGCACTAGCATTAGGTTGATAAGTAGCTGTATACTGCGCAGGTTTAGCCGCTGCCGCCGCCGCCGCGGCTGCAGTCTGGAAGTTATAATTTCAACAATCATAATAAAGTCACTTACAAATATATTCTGATCACTTTCATATACTTGTATAAACATAAATTTGAAATATGCAGTTGTTTTTTTGTTTAACAACTCTACCCTTGAACAGTGGGAAAATTTTTACTAAAAGGGTCATTTATGAATTTACAAAAAAGAAAAATGATCACATTATTTTGTCATATATATGACTAGCTATTGCCCGCGGCTTTGCTCGCATATAGTCCTGTTATTAATATAAAAAAAATACATGACTTCCTTTTTTTATTAATTTTTATTTTTATTAATTTTTGTTAATTTTTATTAATTTTTATTATTTTTATTAATTTTCATTTAATTTTTATTAATTTTTACTGATTTTTATTACTTTTTATTAATTTTTATTTTCAACAATTTTTATTAAATTTTATTTATTTATTTTTATTTATTTTTATTAATTTTTACTGATTTTTACTAATTTTTGTTAATTTTAATAATTTTTAACAATTTTTAACAATTTTTAACAATTTTTAACAATTTTTAACAATTTTTAACAATTTTTAACAATTTTTAACAATTTTTAACAATTTTTAACAATTTTTAACAATTTTTAACAATTTTTAACAATTTTTATTACTTTTTATTAATTTTTATTAATTTTTATTAATTTTGATTAATTTTTATTATTTTTATTAATTTAATTTTTATTAATTTTTATTTATTTTTATTAATTTTTATTAATTTTTATTAATTTTTATTAATTTTTATTAATTTTTATTAATTTTTATTAATTTTTATTAATTTTTATTAATTTTTATTAATTTTTATTAATTTTTATTTATTTTTATTTATTTTTATTAATTTTATTAATTTTCATTTAATTTTTACTAATTTTTATTAATTTTATTAATTTTTATTAATTTTTATTACTTTTTATTACTTTTTATTAATTTTTATTAATTTTCATCAGTTTTCAACAATTTTTATTAATTTTTAACAATTTTTAACAATTTTTAAACATTTTTTAACAATTTTTAAACATTTTTTAACAATTTTTAACAATTTTTTAACAATTTTTTTTAACAATTTTTTTTAACATTTTTTTTTTTAACAATTTTTTTAACAATTTTTTTTAACAATTTTTAACAATTTTTTTTAACAATTTTTATTAATTTTTTATTAATGTTTATTAATTTTTATTATTTTTAACAATTTTTATTAATTTTCATTTAATTTTTATTAATTTTTATTAATTTTTATAAAATTTTATTTATTTATTTTTATTAATTTTTAACAATTTTTAAAAATGTTTAACAATTTATAAAAAAATTTAACAATTTTTAACAATTTTCAACAATTTTCAACAATTTTCAACAATTTTCAACAATTTTCAACAATTTTCAACAATTTTTAACAATTTTTATTAATTTTTATTTTTATTAATTTTTAATTTTATTAATTTTTATTAATTTTCAACAATTTTTATTAATTTTTAACAATTTTTAACAATTTTTTAACAATTTTTAACAATTTTTAACAATTTTTAACAATTTTTAACAATTTTTAACAATTTTTAACAATTTTTAACAATTTTTATTAATTTTTTATTAATTTTTATTAATTTTTATTATTTTTAACAATTTTTATTAATTTTTATTAATTTTTAACATTTTTTATTAATTTTTATAACAATTTTTATTAATTTTTATAAAATTTTATTTATTTATTTTTATTAATTTTTACTAATTTTTGTTAATTTTAATGATTTTATTAATTTTTAACAATTTTTAAAAAATTTTAACAATTTTTAAAAAAATTTAACAATTTTTAAATTTTTTTTAACAATTTTTAAATTTTTTTTAACAATTTTTAACAATTTTCAACAATTTTCAACAATTTTCAACAATTTTCAACAATTTTCAACAATTTTCAACAATTTTCAACAATTTTCAACAATTTTCAACAATTTTCAACAATTTTCAACAATTTTCAACAATTTTCAACAATTTTCAACAATTTTCAACAATTTTCAACAATTATCAACAATTTTTAACAATTTTTAACAATTTTTAACAATTTTTAATAATTTTTAACAATTTTTAATAATTTTTAACAATTTTTAACAATTTTTATTAATTTTTTATTAATTTTTATTAATTTTTATTATTTTTAACAATTTTTATTAATTTTTATTAATTTTTAACATTTTTTATTAATTTTTATAACAATTTTTATTAATTTTTATAAAATTTTATTTATTTATTTTTATAAAATTTTATTTATTTATTTTTATTAATTTTTACTAATTTTTGTTAATTTTAATGATTTTATTAATTTTTAACAATTTTTAAAAAAATTTAACAATTTTTAAAAAAATTTAACAATTTTTAAATTTTTTTAACAATTTTTAAATTTTTTTAACAATTTTTAACAATTTTCAACAATTTTCAACAATTTTCAACAATTTTCAACAATTTTCAACAATTTTCAACAATTTTCAACAATTTTCAACAATTTTCAACAATTTTCAACAATTTTCAACAATTTTCAACAATTTTCAACAATTTTCAACAATTTTCAACAATTTTCAACAATTTTCAACAATTTTCAACAATTTTCAACAATTATCAACAATTTTTAACAATTTTTAACAATTTTTAATAATTTTTAACAATTTTTAATAATTTTTAACAATTTTTAACAATTTTTAACAATTTTTAACAATTTTTGTTAATTGTTATTAATTTTTATTAATTTTTATTTTTATTAATTTTTAATTTTTATTTTTATTAATTTTTAATTTTTATTTTTATTAATTTTTAATTTTTATTTTCATTAATTTTTATTAATTTTTGTTAATTTTAATAATTTTTTAACAATTTTTAACAATTTTTTTAACAATTTTTAACAATTTTTATTAATTTTTATTAATTTTTTTTAATTTTTAATAATTTTTTTATTAATTTTCACCCCCGTTTCCCCCCCTTAAAATGTGAAAATCCAAAAACCATGAAACGCTTCATTTCCTACCTTTAAAAAAATCGATATTTCCAAATAAACTTTCACCCCCCTGTTTCCCCTAAAACACGTCATTATTAATTTGTACTCATTAGCTGCAATTCCAATTTTCATGTTTCTAACTTCAAAGAGAACAAAAAAAAGTTATACTCCCATACAAACTTTTACCCCCGTTCGCCCCCCTCAAGATGTAAAAATATAAAAACCCTAAATCACATTATTATTAATTTGTAGTCAGTAGCTGCAATTCCAATTTTCATGTTTTTAACTTTAAAGAGAACCAAAAACATGGATACTCCCAAATAAATTTTTACTCCCCATTTCCCCCCTTAAAACGTGAAAATCCAAAAACCCTGAAACACGTCATTAATAATTTGTAGTCAGTAGCTGCAATTCCAATTTTCATGTTTCTAATTTCATAGAGAACAAAAAAAATCGATGTCCCTTACAAACTTTAACCCCCCGTTTTCCCCCCTTAAAATGTAAAAAATCCAAAAACCCTGAAACACGTCATTATTTATTTATGCTCAGTAGCTGTAATTTTAATTTTCATGTTTCTAACTTTAAAGAACAAAGACTTTCATTAAAAGCTCCCTCCCCCATTTCCCCCCTTTAAAGTTAAAATTTCCAAAAATCCTTTCTTAGCAGATGCTTACGTTATAAAATAAACCTATGTTCCAAATTTCAGCTTTCTAGGCTGAGTAGTTTTGGCTGTACGCTGATAGGTCAGTCAGTCAGTCAGTCAGGACAAACAATTTTATATATATAGAAGATTCTGAATATAATACAAAATTTATATTTCATAAAAAAACCATTTTTTTAATGTCCAATGATCTGTTTCATTAAAATTTCAATTTATTATATATTATTTCGTAACTATACATTTAAAATACTTACAGCTACTTGCTGGGCTTGTTGTTGGGTGGCAGCTCTTTGAGTGTAAGTGGTAGCATACGTTGCAGGTTTGGCGACGGCTGCTGCTGCAGCCGCGGCTGCCGCCGTTTGATCATATCCACCAGCATAACCGGTTGCAGCTGTCTGACCTAATAAACGTAAATATGTAAATGAAAAAATAAAAAATCTCTTATCAATAGAGGGTTTCAGGACAGAAGTTACTTAAAGATACTTGTTTTGAACAAGTCACAGTGAACGGACGTGTTTACTATTTATCTAAAAAAAACCTCCACAATATTACCAAAAACAAATACAAGTCAAACTTGAAGTTCCAATAAATAAATAAAAATAAAAACAAATAAAAAAGAACTAAATAAAAATAAATATTTAAATAAAATTAAAAAAATATATATAAGAAAATAAAAGTAAAAGAAAATAAATAAAATAAATAAAAATAAACAACTAAATATAAATAATTAAAACTAAAAAATAAATAAATAAAATTAAAAAATAAACAAAAAATTTAAAAATAATAAAAAATAAATAAAATTAAACAAAAATAAATGAAAAGATAAATAATGTAAAAGAAAGTAAATAAAAATAAATCAAAATAAATAAAAATAAAAAGAATTAAAAAGAAATAATTGAAAATGAATAAAAATTAAAAAATATTGATTTTTATTTATTTTTTACTTCTATTTATTTTTATTGATTTTTATTTATTTTAATTTATTTTTGTTTAATTTTATTTATTTTTATTAATTTACCCATTTTTATTTAATTTTTTTAAATATTTGTCATTTAATTTTTTTATAAATAAATAAATTTGTATTTATTTTTATTTTTGTTTAATTTCTATTTTTAATAAATTACCTATTTTTATTTATTTTTTTTACCTATTTGTAATTATTTTTATTTATTTTCTTTTACAACATTTATCTTTTCATTTATTTTTATTTATTTTTATTTTTAATAATTTTATTTCAATTTTTTAACAATTTGTTATTATTTTTATTTATTTAAATTTTTTGTTTATTTTTTTATATTTATTTATTTTCTTTTACATTTATCTTTTCATTTATTTTTGTTTAATTTTATTTATATATTTTTGTTTAATTTTATATTTATTTACTTATTTTTTTTTATTTACCTATTTTTATTTATTTTTTATTATCTATATTTTTTTTATTTTTATTTTTTTTTTATTTTTTTAATATTTTTATTTAGTTTGACAGTTTGATCCCCTCTTGAAGTTCCAATAAATAAATAAAAATAAAAACAAATAAAAAAACTAAATTAAAATAAATATTTAAATAAAATTAAAAAGAAAAGTAAAAGAAAATAAATAAATATAAATACAAATAATTAAAACTAAAAAATAAATAAATAAAAACAAATAAAAAATAAATAAAATAAAAAAATTAAAAAATAAACAAAAAATTTAAAAATAATAAAAAATAAATAAAATTAAACAAAAATAAATGAAAAAATAAGTGTAAAAGAAAATAAATGAAAATAATTAAAAAAAAAAAAAAATAAATAAATAAAAATAATTACAAATAGTTAAAAAAAATTAAATAAAAATGGGTAATTTATTAAAAATAGAAATTAAATAAAAATAAATCAAAATAAATAAAAATAAAAAAATTAAAAGAATTAAAAATAAATAATTGAAAATGAATAAAAATTAAAAAATATTCAGTTTTATTTATTTTTATTAATTTCTATTTTTAATAATTTACCTATTTTTATTTAATTTTTTTAAATATTTGTCATTTTATTTTTTATAAATAAATAAATTTATATTTGTATTTATTTTTTTATTTTTATTTACTTTCTTTTACATTATTTATCTTTTCATTTATTTTTATTTTTGTTTAATTTCTATTTTTAATAAATTACCTATTTTTATTTAATTTTTTTACCTATTTGTAATTATTTTTATTTATTTTTTATTTTTTTTTAAATCATTTTTATTTATTTTCTTTTACATTTATCTTTTCATTTATTTTTGTTTAATTTTATTTATTTTTTATTTTTTTTTTAATCATTTTTATTTATTTTCTTTTACATTTATCTTTTCATTTATTTTTGTTTAATTTTATTTATTTTTTATTTTTAATAATTTTATTTAATTTTTTAACAATTTGTTATTATTTTTATTTAAATTTTTTTAATTATTTTTTATTTTTATTTATTTTCTTTTACTTTTATCTTTTTATATATTTTTTTAATATTTTTATTTAGTTCTTTCTTATTTGTTTTTATTTTTATTTATTTATTGGCACTTCAAGTGGGGATCAAACTGTCGGAATGTCGTTTTTATTAGTTCACATATTTTTCATGTCAGTCAAGCTAACAAGTTTACTTCAAAATTTATTTTACCATATAAATTCGTATAATATATTGAAAATTTTTAAATTAAAATTGTTATAACTCAAAAAAAATATTTTTTCTTAAAAGAAATTTATAATTTTCTGAGTAAATAAAAAAAAAACTACAAAATCATTGAATTTTCAGCTCGCTATGATTTTTCCAAGTCATATACAGGGTGATTCATGACTATTGGGACATAGGCTAAGGGCAGGTTATTTGTACAAAAATATGATGACAGGGCCAAATATAAAAGAACTAAATAAAAATATTAAAAATAAATAAAAAATGTAAAAACATAAAAATAAAGATAATAAAAAATTAATAAATAAAAATGGGTAAATTAAAAAAAATATAAAAATAAGTAAAAAAAATAAATACAAATAAATAAAATATCAATAAAAATAAATAAATACGAACAAAAATTAAAAAAAAAAAAAAAAATGAAAAATAAAATAAAAAAAATTAAATGAAAATAGATAAATAATTATTAAAATAGAAATTAATTAAAATAAATAAAATAAAACGAAAATAAATAAAAATAAAAAGATAAACGTAAAAGAAAAAAAAATAAAAATAGAAACAAATAGAAATAAATAAAAAGAAATAAATAAAAATGAATAAAAATAAAAAAATACTATTTTTATTTATTTTTAAATAAATTAAATAAATTGTAATTAAATTAAAATTGTATAACTTAAAAAAACAAAAAAAAAAAATATATTTTTTTAAAAGAATTTTATAATTTTCTGAGTAAATAATAAAAAGAAACTACAAAATCATTGAATTTTCAGCTCGCCATGACTTTTCCAAGTGATATATATCTCTTCTTAATTTCTAACCACCCTAACTCTGTCAGTTTAAATAATATTAAAAAATGTAAAATATCATTTTTATGTAAAACTTTATGCTTTACAATTTTTATTAAGAACTTTTTTTTATAGCACCTACCGTTTTTAAATAACCTTAAAAATCAAATTTTTTTACATATCGTTTTCAAATACTCTTATATCAAAAATTCCTGTATTTCCTCCAAAATTTTGATTTAAAGGTCTATTTAATTGGACTACTCATCAATATCCAATGGAGCTTCAAAAACAAGTGAAAAATCTTCCTGTTACCTTTTCAAGGATAAACTACACAAATTTTCATATGAAGTATTTCTAAATGAAACAGTTTTCATGTTATTTTCTTTTTGAGAATGCGTAGAGTGATTTAATGTTATAGTAAGCCCATAGTGATCACCTAAATAAAAGTCTTGTAATCGTAACTACAATTTGTTAGAAAATAATCTATTTGTGATTTAGAAATTTTCCCATTTTTTTCAAGTGACACGCGCTGATCGGTTCTATATTTTACCGGTGTGAAGTTAGCAGCCACTTTCCAGCAGCCCGTTTACCGGAAACACCCGAGTTACCAGTGGCATCGAAATGTATTTTTCTGTGTGAAGTTAATGGTGTATTGAAATAAAATTACTACTAAATTTTTAAGAAACAAATAAAAAGTGTTTAGAGAAAGGATTAGGGGGAAACTGAAATAAAAATCCAATAAAAAATTCATTAAAAAATCAATTTTTCTATAAAGATAACAGAATATTGAAATAAAAATAGTGTCAAATAGTTAAACACTATAAAATACAACCTAAAAAAATTTACAAAATCACTTTTTAATGGAATTTTATTTAATTTGACCCCCTCATCCCCTTCCTAAGTAATTTTGTTAAATTTTTTAGGTTGTATTTTATTGTTTCTAACAATTTGGCACTAACTTTATTTCAATACCCAATTGTCTTTATAGGCAAATTAATTTTTAAATAGATTTTTAATGGAATTTTATTTAATTTGACCCCCTCATCCCCTTTTTAAGTGATTTTGTTATTTTTTTTAGGTTGTATATTATAGTTTGTTACAATTTGGCACTAACTTTATTTCAATACTAGATTGTTTTCTTAGGCAAATTAATTTTTAAATAGATTTTTAATGGAATTTCATTTAATTTGACCTCCTCATCCCCTTCCTAAGTGATTTTGTTAAGTTTTTTAGGTTGTATTTTATAGTTTCTAACAATTTGGCACTAACTTTATTTCAATACCCAATTGTCTTTATTGGCAAATTAATTTTTAAATAGATTTTTAATGGAATTTTATTTAATTTGACCCCCTCATCCCCTTCCTAAGTAATTTTGTTAAATTTTTTAGGTTGTATTTTATTGTTTCTAACAATTTGGCACTAACTTTATTTCAATACCCAATTGTCTTTATTGGCAAATTAATTTTTAAATAGATTTTTAATGGAATTTTATTTAATTTGACCCCCTCATCCCCTTTCTAAGTGATTTTGTTAATTTTTTTAGGTTGTATATTATAGTTTGTTACAATTTGGCACTAACTTTATTTCAATACTAGATTGTCTTCTTAGGCAAATTAATTTTTAAATAGATTTTTAATGGAATTTCATTTAATTTGACCTCCTCATCCCCTTCCTAAGTAATTTTGTTAAATTTTTTAGGTTGTATTTTATTGTTTCTAACAATTTGGCACTAACTTTATTTCAATACCCAATTGTCTTCATAGGCAAATTAATTTTTAAATAGATTTTGTTAATTTTTTAAGGTTGTATTTTATAGTTTCTAACAATTTGGCACTAACTTTATTTCAATACCCAATTGTCTTCATAGGCAAATTAATTTTTAAATAGATTTTTAATGGAATTTTATTTAATTTGACCCCCTCATCCCCTTCCTAAGTAATTTTGTTAAATTTTATAGGTTGTATTTTG